ATGATTGATAGGACAAACATACTGGCCTTAAACTGGTCCAGCATCCATTACTATGACTTTTTTGGACTGTGAATTAATCTCCTGTATAAATGCTGGCAATAGATTTCAGGACTTATGATTAGAAAATCCTCCTCCATCACAGACAGCTTCTGTAGAAATATAAACATAGCCAACACATGCAACTCCTGCACTGCATCTGCAGGACTCATGATGCAGCAGTCATGCATTCTCTCGTGTGAAATGAAAGAGTTAGCAGCAGCAAGCAAAGCTTTTGAGGCACTAAGTATGATCAAGGGGTGACGGAGCCCCTCCCACTGTGTACAACGAAAACCAAAGCAACATCAAGGAAGCTGGAACAACCTTTTCCTTAACTCCACATCAGTCGAGGCTTCAGAGCAATCTGCAGCCCACATTTTTATCTGCTCGCTCCAAAGAAATTGCAGATTAAAAGTAAGAGCAGATTCTCTTTTCTTGGACATCTTAAGCCTTTAAATAGCAGTGTGCCTGATTCAGAGGCGCACATCAGGGGACTAAGTTGAGAACATGGCTAGTGTCCAGGCATAATTAAGAGCAGGGGAACAGACAGACTCCCATGTTGACAGGATAGAAAGAAGCATAAAAATAACAGCGGAGAAGGGAGGCAGATGGAGCGACGGAGGCTGCGTCCTCACTGCAGCTGTAAGTGTCTCACTCAGATCTGTTTCTCAATGAGTGTCAATAGCAAAAAGTTAGTGGCAGAAAAATGGACGACATCACTTCTCTCTGGCTGTCAGTTCATATCAATGTGCTGCACTTGAATCAAAATGTGTCATTGTTTCTGAGCTGTTAATTAAACTTTACATCATGTAATCACAGACAACTTGCGCAACTGCTGCCACACTGGCTAAGCAGCGACAGCAAGGGCGACAGAAAGACCAAAAATATGGGCGAGAAAGTGAAATACTGTAGCAGAATATCAGGGAGACGCTTCAGCTTAGTCAGAACCAGAAAACAGAGACGGTACCTGAAATGTGTGATAAACAAGCGAAGAAAACCGGAACCAAATCACACTTTTAAAACACCGCTGTCAGTTCATATAAACCTCCATTCACATAGGCTAAACTTTACCTAGTGACCTAATGCGATTTGTAATAACTGCGAAAGTTGTCTCTGTTCTGAATACTGCACAAACACTGAACTCATCTAATACATCTACTCCTGTGTGAATAACTCAATAACACCTCTATGTTTTGTTTTGGTTTGTTTTTCATGTATTTCCATCCTTTCCAGGGTGGAGAATTATGGAAGTCCCAGTGGGAATGATTAATGAGAGTTTTAATAGAATTTCAGGAGACCCATTATATTTCAGTCTTATCTGGAGATAATGCTCGGATTTGCTCGGTAAATTCGGGTGAATCAGACTTCAAACTACAAAGAGACTAAAAATGATGACAAAGAGATGCAAAACAACTGCAGAGAGACACAAAACAACCATGTAATCATGCTGTTTGTAGTCTTTCAGTCTGGGGGTCTTGCTCCTACAACGGAGGGGTCCAGGGGTCTGAGCCCACGGGCCTGTTATCTCATAATCTGTCCAATTTACAAATTTTTACTCATTTTACAAACGTACCCTCCTTCTTTGAGTCTGTGCCCCCTCATTCAGAATTTTGTACACCTGCCCTTGAGGTTGTAGCTTCTTAAATTAGACGAGTGTTTATGTGTAATAAGGATCCTTAGACAATTGTAGTCCAGTGTGAATAGGACACTCAGATTACAGCCTGGAGAAGATAAGATCATTCATCGAAAGACGATAAGATATGAGCTCTAGAAACAAGTAGGAGGGTTCAGTGTGAACGCAGCCACACAACTGAGAGTAAATGACCAAGATGTGGGAAGATAACACTCCTGCCTCCTTACCTGCTCTTTGACAGAAGCCAAGAGGTTGGTGGTGGTGGTGCTGCTGGCATCTGGCGGTAGGCTACGATCGCTCGGCCCCTCTCTGACCACCATGGGCCCTTCCCCCTCCGCGTCCCCCTCCTCCATCGCCTCCACCTGCCCGCTGTAGTCCAGAGCCGGCTGGCTGCTGAGGCGCCCTCTCTGACCCTGCAGAAGGACTACAAGCTGGTCAGGATGTGGACAAGGAGGAAATACAATGAACAACAACAACAAAAAAAATCAGTGAAGCCTGGGAGCCTCTGAGCATGTCAGAGTGTGCGTTTACAGGGAGCATATTTTGTTTTACCTACTATGATAATCCTGCAGGGATTGACTTTGACCTTAAGATGTGTGCTCGTCTGTTTTCTAAACCTCTCTAACGTCCCTGTGGGGGCTTGTAGTGAATTTATGGTGACCTTACTCAAATATTCCTACAATGCTCCTATAGGGGCTCACAGTGTGATTGTAGCTTTTATGCACCTTTAATATCAATTTCTATAGAGATTCATAAAGAGGCTCAATAATAAGATTATAGTGCTTTCCCTTATAAATATAGATTTATATGTAATCTCTTATGGTATTAAGAGGCTATGAAGTGGGGATTTAACCCTTCACTGACGCATGCAATTGCAGAGTTCCCCATAAAAACAATTGCAATAGTTTTACCTTAAAGGTTATGCATTGCATTTGCAGGGTTGCACGCACGCGACACAGGAGGCATTTAACAGCATGTCACGTTTATGATTTTTCCTCTCCATATTACAGCCGGAGCTCTCTGTGATGAGCCTTCATCATATGTTACACGCAGCCTGTCAGTCAAACGTGCACACACCATCCGGCAGCCAAGGACGAGGTGACACCGACTCACCGGACCGGAGACCAAGACTCACACCGAGTCCCCCCCCACACACACACACACATACCTCCCCGTTTCTGCCCGCCCGCCTGCAAGCGGCTGCGGCTGTCAGTGCGACTCACCGGCCAGATGTTGCTGTTAGAAGCAGGCCACAGCTGGCTCAATCCGTGCTGTTACGCATCCATCCTCCTCCTACAGGCGGCAGTGACAGCTTCTACATTTCCCACGCGCCGACGCGACAAACAAACAAAACAAACAGGTAACAGTCTTGTGCACGTTCACACACCCCTCGTGCAAAATTACACTTGAGTGTATCGGTTTTTTTTTTTTTTTTTTACCTGGTGTGGATTTTCAATGCACCCATCTACCCCTGGCGTCCGCGCGGCACCCAGCCACCCACCCACCAACCAACCCGCCCAGCCACTATTACCGATCAGCGGCGTGACGTCACCATGCGGCTATGGACTATTATCCGATACAGGAATCGATCAACTGCCGATGCACCGCTGCACGCGCCGCTGCTGGAGCTGCAGGAGCCGTGATGAGATGCAGCGCTGCAGCTCCGAGCAAACAGGAGCTGCTGGAGAGGAAGGATGCAGCCTGCAGCGGCCACCTTCTGTGTGTGTGTGTGTGTGTGTGTGTGTGTGTGTGTGTGTGTGTGTGTGTGTGTGTGTGTGTGTGTTTTCTCCTATGCACACTGCTGAAGGCCTGATTGGTTTTAATCAGATTCCCAAAAGAAAATGTAACATTAAAGTTAGAGAAGTATTTCACTATAATATTTTTAAAGTCCATTTTATGGAAGCCCGTTTGAGCCAAGATTTTTCTTAAATTAGAAATGATTTAAAAAACACAAGAGTCAAATTAACGAAAATGAAAAACCAAGTCAACATTAGAGCTAACGTCCTGTTAAGTGAAAATTTTATTCATTTATTTATTTCTTAAACACTTCTATATATTTTAACTCTTGAATTGAATGTATTGGTTGATTTTGTGTGCTTTTATTGTTTAAAGCACTTTTGCACTTCAGCATTTTGCATATAAAAGGTGCTATAGAAATAAATGAATTGTTATTGTTGTTTTTGATCATCCTCGTTATAGACTGAGACAAAAATCTAAGTCACTTATGATTTAATGATTAAAATTTATGAACAATTTTCACCTACCTCATGATAATCTTTATCTTTTTTTTTTGTAGTTTTATTAGTCTTTTCTCTGTCAGAGAATGGGCTGCAAATGTAATGTAGCACTAACTGTCACCCATTTCAAACAAAGCTTTATTTTTTAATACCATGGTGAAATAAATTGAAAACATAAGTCTGAAGCTGTGACAAACAGACAAACTTCTTTGGTAGAAACAGCACAGTAAACATGATACTGTTTCTGCAGAGATTTTGTTTTTTTGAGTGAACTGGCCCTTTAAGGGAAAACTGCCACTCCTTTAACCATCATGTAGTTAACACACCTCCATATATGTTCATTTTCAAATGCCTTTGAAGCCCTAATCTGATTATTTTAACATAACAACTTTAAGATTTAGAGAATAAAAGGATAGGAATCAACTCATTTAGTCTGATTGGAAATGAAATAGAAATAAGCTCATTATTTATTTATCATTTATTTATTCATCGCCTACATTCAGGAGACTAAATTGACATAAAAGAAACTTAACTTCAGTTGAGAAAGTACAAGGTTCTGGCTGTACCAACATGTTAAAGAAGAAGAAAAATAAAACAGTACACGTTTACATGCACATGCCCATTTATTTAAATGATAATTAAGAGTCTGTGAAGTCTCCATGGTAAGTAGGGTCTTACATTGAGTTGTGTCAGGTAGATTTCTCCTCACTACAAACACTTGAGGGATCTTTAGTTTAAAAGCTGCCTTCCTCGCTCTCCTCTGGTACATTTCCATTAAAAATGAACTAATACCACTTACAGATAGAAAGCAGGAGGGGGCACAGAAGTGACAAGACTTTAGGGGAGGACTTTGCAAAGTTAAGCCATTAAAGGTTCCCACTACTGGTGTGTAGACTGATGATGTCAACAACTCACAGAGAGAGGAGGAATAAACTCGACGTAACACTAGTTTTAAATGTAAATACTGTACCTGAATATAACAGTTCATAGAAATAAACCCGCTCTTCAAAGCAAACAATATCAAAAAGATGATACATTCGCCATTCCTTGTACTGCAAAATAAAATCCAGTGTCACTAAAGACAGTAAAGCGTCTAAGTTTTGGAGCAACACTTGACACTTTTTAATACCACATACAGATAATTTATGCATCACTGCTTAAATATATTGCGTTGAGAAAAGTGACGACCGGCCAGTTGTGTTGAACATGACACATGTAAGAGTTTTTAGGTCACTTCTTTTCAAATGAGAGTCTGTTACTGCTGCATCACTTTGAGATGAATGTGTTGTATATGTGCTGTTAGACCCACATACATCACCCTATCCAGACAAATATCCCTGTAGGATTAGGATTTTACTGTCACAGTCTGGTTCACAGTTACAGCTAAAAAAAATAATACCCGTTAAATGGCTCAAGGCCAAACTGTCAATCAAATGTCAAAGAAACTAACTAATGCTGAACCCGCATAAACAAGCAGGAGAGGAAGACATGGGGACATTTCTGTTGGCTTGTGAGCAGTAAGGCCAAACTTAAATAAAATTAAAGGGTTGAACTTCACAGAACAAAACATTGAAAAATAAAAATGGTTTCTAAACCAGACATAATACAAAAGTTTGTGAAAGTGTTTCAAAAGCTACGTCTGTCAAAACCTGGAAATTAAAATGATACATTTATTTAAGTTTTGGTTAAAATTGACAATAGTAACGATGTTTGCTATAGTTTAGATAGTGCTGGCAGAAAGTGAGTTTAAGTTCATAGGTATAGAAAGTGTCGTGACAGCTGGCAATCAGACTCAAAAACACTTCACAATTGGCTTTTTCATGTAAGTTCTGGTTTTAAAAGGTTTTTTACAGTCTTAATTTAACTCAGCTACAGAGACAACCAGGGCCTATATTTATCAAACTGTTAAAAGAAAAAAGTTTTGTTTTAATTGACAGTTGATTTTAAAGAGACAGGCAGGAATTAAGGGAGAAGGGAGAGGAGTATGACATGAAAAAAAAATCCATGTCGACAATCGAACCGGCAACGCTGCTGTGATATGGTACGTCTTAACCACTCAACCACCAGGCTTTTTTCACTGTTTCCCAGACTGGTTGTGAAATTTTTCTGTGCAGAAATGATGCAGCAGTAACTATTACTCTAATCTGAGCTGAAGAATCTCCCATCAGGCAGATAAACATGTCATGAAATGGAGGTTTTGGTGTGACAAGGCTGTGCACTAACACTAACGTCTCCTACTGGTGTCTACTATGTCGAAACACTGCATGAGCAGGGAAAAACTGCTTGGTTGGCATGTTCAGAACTCACTTTTTAAAAACTCGTCTGCCTTAATCTTCACAGGGAATTACAATGGAATTGACTTTCAGGTTGTCAGTCTGCAGAAGGCGGCCTCTTCCTGACCATTTCCCACAATGTTTTATCTATTGTTTGGGGTTATTAGGCTGAAGGAGAATGCAGGACTTTAACATGCAGAATATCTCTTTTATAGATCTACAATTAGCAAACTTCTGACATATCTGGACCAGCATCAAACACTTGTACTGTTACTGATCTACTGATGAGCATCCTTATTAATAAGCAGCAATAAGAAAATTGAATTTGCAGCCTTTGCTAGTGCTCCTATGGAACCAATTTCTTCTGTTCGAGTTTTTTTTTTATTTCTTAAAAGAGCCTTTTTCTTCTGAATGTGCTTTTATTCAGATTAATGGACTAAAAGCCTTCATAAAAATGATGCAACATGACTTCATGTGTCTCTATTTCAGGGACTCTAAAGCTACAGAATTTAAGGGGAGCACAAGAGAAGAGGAACCTTTTGTAGAGCAGCAACCTAAAAATCTTTTTTGGCCCTTTGCAACCAAACAAACAGCAGCGGCTGTGGCCTTCAGTATGCACTTTGGCATGTGGTCACAGCTGCGGGGTTGCTGTCTCAACGAATGATCGTATCCGCCCCCGCAGCCGAAAACACACAAACCTCTAACATCCCTTCAGAGAGCAGGAGCCCTTGATCAAAACAAACAATGTTGCACGTCACTGGAACCACAATTCATAATACACAATAACTTTGAAAATTCACTAACTCGATCTTCATACAACCAGGGAGGGAAACTAAAACCAGCCACCAGCCAAATGCAGCTGAATTTAAGATTTAGCAGGTACAGCTGTCTCTCCTTTTGATTTCTAAATATCAAACTAGTTGGTAAAATAACAACCAAAATGTTAGTTTCCTCCCCTGCACACAACTCGTCTTTCAAATCGAGAAACGACAAGAATTAACAAAAAATGCTGCGAGCACCGACACATCTACTCAGCAAAATATGCGTGAATTCTTTTTTTTACAACTTAATGCAAATAAATAAAGATGACAGTACCTTTTGCATAAACATGAGTACAAAACCTAAGAGTAAGTGGATGTACAATAAATGTGAGTGAATCTGTGAGGGGGCGGAGTGGCGTTTTCGTGGATTTGTGACACCATGAACCGGTGTTGGGAAGACCCCCCTTTGCCCTCCACAGGAGAACCTGTGCTCTACTACTCCAGGTCGTCCACATCCTCCATTGCAATGGTGCTGGTCTGTTCTGAGGTCACACCTACAAAACAAAACAAACATCAATATTTGACGCAAAAATAATGTCACTTGAAACTTTTCACAAGAGTCCTGTACAATAAACTTTAACTCTAAATGTGAGAGATATGCAATATGTGAAAATAACAGCTGGATAAGACTAGCTGTCAGCGTCTGAGTCAGCATTGTTAGGATTACTGTTACCTTAGCTGCTATCAGCTAATTGGCTATTGTCATGTCTCAACATTTAGTGTTTTTAAAGTACATCTTTTTGTCTGCATGAGGATGTGGCCTCACATCATCATGTGCCAACACAAAGACACAAAATTTAAGGAAATTTCATGTCTGGATGGCACTTTTAAAAATATGTTTTACAGTGGGAGGTGCTCTAAAAATAAACCTATAGAAATCAATGTATAAACATGTTTCTGGGTTATTTGGTTTTGTGAAGTCTGAAATACTGGCTACTTATTTTTGCACAAAGGGATGAGCAAACACATTTAATATTCAGTGGGCTGAAGCCTACTGAATTCTGCATCTTAACAAGCCTGTAACCAATCCCTGTGTCGTACTTGAGGCATCGTCGTCATTAGGAGACTTCATCTGTTCCTCCACGTAACCGTGACTCAGCAGCTTGGACATGCTGACTGGGGGGGCCTTCTTATCGTAAGACCTGAAGAGGAGACAGGAGACAGCGCCATCAGTATGACTTCACTTGTACTGTAAATTAATTTGAGACTCACGTATCTCACAAAACCCTTCACTGAATTAATTTTACTCCTTCCTATTCACAGCAGAGTTTGCAATTTCTTAGACAAAGATGTTTTTTTTAATCTACACAAAAAGATAAATGTAAATAAGGTTGAGATATTTAATATTTGGTTTCAAATTCCTTTAAGAAAGACTACAAGTGATTTACTCACGTTCTCTTGAATTTGTTGGTTAAGGACAGACCCTCCAACTGACCGGCGGCACCATCAGGTGACATCTGTAGGATGGAAACGTGACCAAAACTCCTGGTTATATGTGGCTCTAAATCACAGTCACAATCTGTGGGTAATTTCCACCTTTATGCTGCAGAATCACACCAGTCACTTTAGTCACTTTACTGTCAAATATGCAGGTTAAATAAGCAGGTGAAACAGATCTGGGTGATACAGCGGAAGATGAAATGAGGGAAGAAAACTTCAGTCATGCAATGAAATGATTAAAGAAACTGGCATGAACAAAAACCAGCTTAAATCCAAACAGCAAAGTAAAGCTCATTTTAATCCTGCATGCAGCCTGTTAAAGCACTAGCTCAACAAATATTCTATGATTGGGTATTTTTTCAAAATGCTTACTACCCTTAGACAACTCATGTAAACATTCCTTCACTGTATTAGGTATTAAAATTATGGTATACAACCTTTACAATTGCCATGATGCAGGTACTTGGCAAAGCCTACTCGGCAAGATATCATTCCTCATAAGACTATCATAAAATATAGAGAATATAGAGAAACTCTATATATTTTTCAATTACGTTATTATAAAAGGATAACAAGAAGACTGTATGAAATGTAGGTAAAATAATTTAATTGTTAGATCAGGTACTTTTCAAAGCATCATTCTGCACTTACCTGAAACTTTTATCGGTATTTCCAAAAAATTATCACACAGCAAAAGCACCGGCAGAAAATGAAACCCAAATAAATTCTAACTTAAATGCGAATGCAACGATGGAGCAAAATAAATGGAAAGGTGATGGTAAAAATTAAAAAAATAAAGGATGGATATAGATATTGGCATGACGTCCATGTTGGGGGTGACTAGTTTGGTCCATTCACCTTATCTTTACCATGGGTAAAGCTATCAGTCTCTCTTTCCCAGGACGAACTGTTATCAGTGCCAAACGGTGCAGCCAGAGGCTGGCTGCCCCCCTTCATCTGGCTGTTGGGAGACGTTGCTTTGCTTCCACTGTAAGCACAAAACCATGGTGACATACGAAGTGAAATTACGGCTTGCCACTCATCACATAGTGGCAAATTTAGGCTGTTTTGTTAGAGCTCTACGCGGCACTCAGGAGCATCAAGAGGCATTTTTAACAAGTTGTGTTTTATCCTGAAACTCTAGTTGGCTGATGAAAAAGTCCGAGCAGTTCATCAGGTATTGAAATCAAACCCTAAGACATGTTTTTCCTTTGTGACACCTAATCTTTGTTGAATATTTCCACTTGACAGCCTCTGAACTTTCTCTACACTGACACTATGAACAAGATTTTCCTTGAGAGTCCATCAATATGATGAAAAAATAGGCTCCAGGCTAAAAAGTGAGAGGTGGGTGTGTGGTGGGAAAATGACACTGGGTTTTGAATCACATACAAACCCACCGTCTCCACATGTGACGCTGCATCTTCATCATGTCAGATTTCTTACTTCAGTGTCTTACCCGTTTGCCTCATCACCTCCAAACCAGTTGGGTGGGTTGTAGGGTTTCTTTGGTTTATCCTCAGCATCAGCATCATGAGTCAACAGCCCTGCCAGGTGGGAGAAACACACAATAATCAAAATGAAACAAAAACACTGCCAGCAATTATGAACATTGTATCTCACCTTTGAAAGCACAATGTGACATTTAACTTGCAGTCTATTCAGCTCAGGGGCTAAACAATTACTCAACAACTGAAGAGGTTTCCCATCTCCCCACTATTCTCCTGTTCTGCCTCCACAGTAGTGACACACTGTCTGCAATGCCTTTTACATTGAAACAAGCTAGCAATTTGGATTTCTTCTACTGGTAAAATATTATGGTGAAAATAATAACTCTTCTGCACATTGTGTGTGAAGGAAAAAGAGCTATTTTAGCTGCAGACGCCATACAATCTAATATTCAAACAGAAAAACGAATTGCACATTTCTAGAATTTCTAAATCAGACATTTAATAATGCAGTTTGGCTTTGTGTTTCCACATATGACTTAGAGCAGTCCATATGTGCTCTTTCATCAAAATAATAGCAATGAGGATGTTGTTAAATTAGTTAAGGGAAAATCAAACAAATCTTGTGCATGGAAATTGGCAGTTTTCCTAATGGAGTCAGGCATTGTGTTTCAATAAGGGACAGGGAGGGACTGGAGCATTAAGAGAAATTGAATCTTTTTGTGAAATAATTTATTGCTTAGCAAAAACACAACATTGATAAAACATTGCAAATAACGTTAAATTAAAAGAACAATTACTCTCTGCACTGCTCCTTACCCTGACATAAGCAGGCAACTTCGCTAATTAAATAATGAGTCTTGTGAACCAATTTGCAAAGAAAAAACAAGCTATTTAAGTTAACAATTGGAGTTACAACCCATAAAAGAGGGCATGATAACTAACATTTGCAGACATTTCATATCAGGAGACTTAAAAAAAAGACAGTTTTTCCCTGGTAAGTCAATGCTGCGAAGTTGCAGTTACAAGGGGCTGTTGCTTTTCCCCAAAATGCATTAAAAAAAACATTTTTGGAAAAGGATCCTCTCTTTCATGTTGTGAACTCCTAGGCCACTCAAAGAGTTGAGCCACATGTGTCAACATCACAAAACAAATGAGCTAAGATGGTTTTTATTTTTAAAATATGATTTCCACTGTTTCAAATTCTCTAAAATCAACTGTTCAGTTAGAGGGCAGCAGCAGTTTAGTGACAAAAGGAGAAATCTGTGTTGTAGCAAAGCAAAAAATTAGACAATTGTTACCAAAATGTAAGACACTACAATCTGCAGGCCAATATCTCTAATCTAATAATTGTAATTGTATGGAAATATCTCATCCAATAATCTGAAATCGTCTGACACTAAAATTACACATTTTAAGTATCCTTTACCTTTGTGTCCTCCCTGCTTAGCGAGCTTCACATATTCCGAGTCGGTCTCAAATATCCCAACTCGCCGGCCACTGATCCTCTCCACTGGGGTGCTTTCATCAGCGCTCTGGGACAGACCGGGGATCTGGGAGGTAGGTCCAGTCACGCCGCTGTTCACAGCCCCTGGCTTTATGCCTGCAATGAACTGAATATTAAATCTGCTTGCTTTGCTAGTGTGTGTGTGTGTGTGTGTGTGTGTGTGTGTGTGTGTGTGTGTGTGTGTGTGTGTTTGTGTGTGTGTGTGTGTGTGGCTCCATTTGCAAGTAAAGTAATGGTTCCTCTGCATATACCCTACATGTAAAGCCACACTGCACTGCCTGTTTAGTCTGTAAGCTGGAAACTTTCTTGCCATCAGTTATACTTTGTGATATTATTACTGTAGTTTGTGGGTATTATGTGTTTCAGTTAAAAGTGTAGTACTTTTAGAGATGCTGGATAGTTTTGTTTTGAGTGTTGAAGTGTATTACAGGTGATGGAGCCAGAAAATGTTGAAATGCATAAAAATAATTGCTGTGACTGAATTTTCCATGACATTTTGACAGGCTGTCTCTAAATTACCTATAAAACCATTAAACATTTAGCAAGATGCTATCAGGCCATCAGACTTACCTCCAGGCTTGGTCCTTCGATGGTTGGGGACAGCGGTGCTCATTTCAGCTGCAGACATGACACAATCTGATGATCAAAGAGAATAACTGATAGGTTGTAATAACACATCTCTAAAATACAGAAACTTCAGGCTATGACGCTTGTTGTCCAACATAGGACACATAAAACATAAATCAAGCTTATTTAAATTAGCAGCAGGTTCTCGTAAAATTAACATGAATCCAAAAAGTACCACTTATTGCAAAAAATTTATAAAAAACTATAAGATAATGTCTTGCCCATCTTGTTTCTCACTGTTCATCTTCCACTAGACTGAAAGAGGCAATAAACTAACACCATGAAGACAGGCTTAGATTTTTGAAAAGTAATTTATTACTTATTAGATACTATTTGAGTCGAATTCACCAAAAAGACCAAGAACATTAAGCAAACACAGAAAATCATGTTAAATATGTGCACTATGTCCTTAACTAACAGTAAGGTTGCCTTAAAGCGTCATTGTTTCACATGTCAAATACAACGGCCTGTTTGTGACACAGGACAATTAGCATGCTGTTAAAGTAATTAAAGGAATATAAAACAAGTCTTGTTCGTGTATGAGTGACAGAAAGAAAGGTCTATTAGCTCTCAACGGCAGCAAACACAGAAAACAATCCACAGTGGCTAATATTTGCACACATTTCATAAAAAAGTAAGCCCACTTTGTAGAGAGTATACACGAAACGCTAAAGCATAATATCAAGTGTTTTCGATGGCATAGTTTTGCTTAGCAATGTGGCTAACAAAGCAATGCTAATTTGGCTAGCCGCCTAGCTAACTGCCGCAGTAGCTTTCCAGCGCGAACCTTATTCTGAGCTGCAACAATGCTACTTTTAACATAAACAGCCAACGATAGCACTCGTATGATATCAGACAAATATCTTACATTATTAGCTGTTATTTGTCTTTTGTTGTAATTGCTGAGGGGTTGTTACTGGGTTGTTGCAATTAAGCTCCGTTAGCTTCTTCTTATTCTGCAGGCAGGGCTGAACGGCAGACACTTCCGGTGGCACCTGCTGCGACATCCGGTACGCTAATCAAAGATCGCCTAGGGTGAACAACGCCTGACGTAAATTTGTAGGCGTTTTGTAGCGTTTCTATCGTCCACGCGAATATACACAGTAAAGGGTGGAGATCAGATCTTGGAATAGGACAGAGTGAGAGCTCTTTTGACCTTTCATGCTGTTACTACATTAGGACACGATCTTTGGCCCCGTAGTGGAAAAAACAGTGGTGGAAGGGAAGTAGATTTACTTAAATACAAAATTGAGGTATTTGTACTTTATTTGAGAAAATCCATTTTATGCTGCTTTATACTTCTACTCCATTACTATTAAGAGGTAAATATTGCAATTTTACTTTTGTTACTTAAATTACATTTTCCTGATTATTCTTTCACACTCAAGTGACATTTTAAAAGCAGGGCTTTTACAGGTAATGGAGTATCTTACTACTTCTATTTATAACTGCACAATTACCAAATAGAAAAGATAGATACCAGTCATTTTTTTGCAACCTGACAACCCAAAATGCATGTTATTGATGACTTATAACTGAACTTGAAAGCACTGGTAAATATTTACTAACCATTAATGAAGCCTTTTGCATGCGTAAAATTTTGTGTTATTCCAATAAAGTATTTATTACCAACAAACCACAGTAATTCTCCCACAACTCATGTTACATGAACCTTTCAAATGCACAATTTCCTTATAATCTAGAACACATTAGTATGCTATTGTTTCCATAACAAGTCAAATCACTGAGCCAGTGGAGCATCCATGAAATCAAAAATTTTTTATTGTGCTTAACAGATTTAGACTTCATTAAACAGAATTTATCCAATTAGAACAAACAGTATTAGTATTATTATATTAACTCTGTTAATAAATTGCTATCACAGTGCCATATATTAAAACCACTTTACATGCTCTTAATAAGCTCTAAAATATCTATAAAAGTAGTTGTTTTGATGCCACACATAGACTTTCATTCCAAAAGGAGATATACAATTAAAACAGTTTTAACTGCTGACTCAATGATTCACTTTTTAGATGTTAACTCATAAAGCTGAAAAAAAAACTACATTGGAATGAAGGCTTCAACTCATTTATATAAAACACAGTATCATCAGCGCATGCAGAAAACACTTCAGCAGGAAGAAAAGGTTAATGTGTCAGATACTAATAAGTGATGCAAATAATGCAACAGCGGTCAGGTTAGGAGAGTACTACCAGTGCTCTTTGATTGGCAGCCGGTTCTGGATAAACTCTTTTTCATCTCTGGAGACCGCTCAGAAGTCTTTGCCGCAGTCAGGGCAGAAGATGTCGTCTTTGCACGTCAGGAAACCTCGGCCGACCAGAGATACGGAGCACTTTTTGCAGTTGAAGCAGCTGTTGTGCCACTGGCGCTGCTCGAACGAGATGTACTTGCTGCCTCCGAGACCTGAGACAAAAGCAGCAGAGTGAGTGATGCGTGGCACAAGGGGAACAAAATAAGCTTGTCCCCAATAGTCTCATGATCTCTGTAATGTAATAACCCTGTAATTGGATACACAGGATGCAGGGTTTAGATCTTGTGCTACATTTACTGTGTTTTATTCTGTATTTAATGACAACTCACCAAAGATTTATCACAGAATGCCTGTCACAAAACTTGGAATTTGAACTACATGGACCTTTACCAAGCAGGGCATGTGAAACCCCTTTAAAAGTATCATTTCTAAAACTTGTATGATTTATCTGTGTATTAATTCAAACAGATTTGGGTAAACCTGTATCCACCCAGCAGTCACACCTGCAATTCAAAGGATGTGTATAAATAGGTTTTCAGGGGCAGTACTCCTGACACAAACTCAGGTTAAGCTTTACCGCTGATCGGGGTGGTGCAGTAAGCACATTTCTTAGCAAACAGGTTGCAGAAGCAGTCGAAGCAGTAGGCGAAGTCGTCCCGAGAGGTGAACCTCTGGCCGGCCAGCTGCTGCTTGCAGCCAATGCAAACGAAGCACTCCTTATGCCAGGGCTGGTCGCGGTAGTTCACTCCTCCAGTGGTGATGGGCTGCAAGTGTTTAGAAAAAAGAGATAACACAATCATTTTTGACAAAGACCTATAGTATCTTCCATTTTCTCGGGCTTTCAATCACAACTCACTGTCTTCCTCAGTAGATTGAGTTCACTCTGTTGTCATGAACAAAGCTCAGTTGGTCATATATTGCAGGAGATCTGTTTCTGTTCAAGCATGATCTTTGGCGTCAGATATACAAACTCCATCCCCTGATGAAGACCATGATAGTCGGTTCAAAGCCTTGGAAAAAGCCCATTTTTTTTGGACCCCATCATATGTTCATGTTAAATAAGATAATGCATTTTTTTGGATGTAATAAAAACACACATCGGCATCACATGTGTAAAAAGAAATAATTGCAATACAGAAAAGACAAACATACAAAATGAAAGTTGTTTGTTTTGATCACAGGAAATGAGTAAGCTGCTGCTATGACGGTTTGTCAGCTTAATATTCACATAATTTAAAGTTCATTTTGCTGTTTTCTAATTAAAAATGGCTCTTTTTTTTACATTCTCATGTGAATTTAGTGAAGAATATAGCTGTTAAAATGCTGCATCTTATATATCTTATATATATGGTTTTATTGCTCTGTTATTTGTTGCTGACTTAGTCACAGATGACTGCTGTCTCACCTGCTAGCTTCCAGGACAAAAAGATGCTTCTGTTTCTCGTCCATCTGTTTCCTGGCCATAACTGGTCTATACCATAATGTAACACTCTTCTTCCCTCCTTCACTGCTTGCCTTTTCATAACTGCACCATCAGCAGTGATTTGGCTCAATCTTTGCTTCTTTAAAATTATGCACGACAATACAATTGTCGGATTGTTCAGCTATTAAAAACCTGACCTCTTTGATCTTGTATATTTCACTCAGTAACATTTTCTTCACCTTTAAAGAGACCCAGGGGACGTCTAAGGGTAAAATCATAGTTCAAAAGATCAACTTTGCTTTTAAGTGTCTCTAAAACAGAATATTGATCTCATTATCATCTGGCAGGTGGACCAATTGCTCATTAGAGACCTCTCTGCGACCTCACTTGCAAAATCAGTTGTATTCGTGGAAAATTATTGATTTATAATCACATTTAATTGATAGCAGCTTGAGATGACAACCAAACAAAAATGCAACCAGAGCGTCTTGTGCATGCTGAGACAAGTGGATGTAAACCACAGTCAGTGCTGTTTTTACCTTCTTGCATTGGATGCACTGCAGAGCAAACTGCTTCTCGTAGCAGGGCAGGCAGTAGTTGCTGGCGTCCTTCTGGATGAAGCTCCTGGTGCCGATGGGCTGCTGGCAACGGTTGCAGGTGAAACAATTCTCATGCCAACTGTTGCCCTTATGCTCCATCTTTTTAGAGCCTGGTGGGCGAAGAGAGAGAGAGAAAGAGTGTGAGTGGGAGGGAAAGAGGAGGAAGAGAGAGAGAGGAGTTCTCACACTAACAAATGCCATTTTTCAATTTAACCTCCATGTCAGCACAACATCCATGTGGAGCTGATGTATCACTGAGTCAGTCCTGATCTCCTACTCACTAAAGCTATTACGGCTTTAACAACCCAACAACAACAGCATGTAGGTTTATCGCCATCAATACATCATTATGTCATCAATTTGGATGTCTTCCTGCAGACAAAAGACTCATTTACCACCATCCTACAGGTAATCAGATCACCCAGTTACAGCTATTGGCAATTTGCTGATGTACTGTAAGCTCTTAATACAACTGACATGACAACTGTTACCTAGAAAAAACACTTTGTACAGTTAGATTTGAAGATAAATGTAAATATGTGCATATTTAAATCACCTCTGAGGGTTCTGACCCATGTTTTAGCTGCCAACCCAACCCACGCTCCGACAATCTCTCTGTGTCTGGCCTCCTCACCTGGCATGATGGTCTTCAGGCACGCGTGGCACTTGGAAGAGTACTCGTTGCTGTAGCAGTCGGTGCACATCAGCATGTCATCCTTGGTGGCGAAGGGCCGATCCGCCAGAGACCGGCTGCACTTGATGCAGAGGAAGCAGTCGCTGTGCCAGTGGCGGTCCTTGTACGACAGATCCTGCAGCGAGTGAATGAAAGAAGAGAGTGTTTGCTTGGATTAGAAATAAAAGAAAGACTGTGAAATTGCGACATTTGCCTGCTCTGGTGACATGGGACAAAAACAGGGCAAAACCAAAAGGTAATAAAGACATTTGACAGCTGCAAACACTGATGGGAAAATATAAATACAGGTATGGAAACAAAAGTTGGAAAGGTGAATTCACGATTCATAAAATTTTACCTTGCTGGTGCAGGCAATGAGCTTCTGGCACACTTCACAGTTGTGGGAGAAAAGTGACTCGTAGCACTTGATGCAGTACGGGTTCTCCTCCTTCAGGATGTACTTCTGCCCGTACAGGGACTCGTTACAGTCTGTGCAGTCGTAGCGCTCAGTCATGTTGACTAAAATATCCTCTGTCCTGTGAGATAGAGACATTGTCATAAAGATTATGCAACTGCAGCTAAAATATTCCCAAATTAGCCAATAGGAACCATGCACAAGATGAATCAACACGTAGAATCTGTAACTTGGATTGGACTCCTGTAGTTGAATAGCTGACTTTTTCTACTTCTCAGGATCACATGGACCAATAAATTACATCATGCCTCCATGACCAGGTACAGAAGCTGGCCCTTCTGAGATTACTGGAAACCTAATTGAGTACTACATACAACAAATTAGGCCGGGGAATGTGGCAAACTTCCCCCAAGGCCACACACTGAAGAGTAAATGCCTTCCACTTTATTAATGGACATGGTGTGACTTTTAAATCTGGTTTACTGGCTCCTAAAGTCTCAAGTTAAGGAGGTCAAATTTAGCCCTGATTCCATTAAATTAATGGCTCTGCTCATCTGGAGCAGCAAAAATTAGTTTTGAGAAATTCTGAGTAAAATCAAGAACAAGGAGGATGAGATGGTAGAGGGAGGGAGCAAAAAAGGAGGACAAGAAGAACAATTAAAAAAATTAAATAAAGATGAAATAGAGGGAAGAATCCAACAAAGAAGAGAAGAAGAAATGAAGAAATGAAAGAGTGAGGTTTGCATTATCATCTATTGCAGACCTTTTAAACTTTTATTCTGAAAACAGCCTCATTGGTTTTTAAAATTGGTTTAAGGTGGATCAGATTTAAAAAAGAAAAGAAAAGAAAAGGATTGCTTCATAAAATCTTATGCAACCTCTGAAAATCAATTCTTTGAAAAAGTCCACCCTGTTTAGACAGGTGGGAAGTGTTTAAAGCCGGGAGTCCTGCTGTTCCGGGGGCTGCTCAGTGCACATTTAATAACATCAATAATCCCAAACCACCACACCAGACGACTGATATGATGAACAAACAGGAAGGAAAATTGGGTAATAAATTTGGGAATTAACTGAATAATGTGATTTCATTTACTGGCAGATAGTTTGTGAATGACTTTCATCTTAACTTGGGACATTAAAGTTTGGACAAAAATAATTATTCAAACATGTCACTGTGTTTTTGCACATTTCTTTAAATCTGGAAATCATCCTTCAGCCTTGTTCACCAAAGCAATATTTTCTGGGTGACAGAGCTTACAAAAACTTCTCATTCATTTCCCCCCTTTCCACTTTTTAGAAGACTTGAGCAAGCAGCTCCAAAAAAAGCCTCTAAACCTCCACAAATCCTGGATTATGCTCAGCTAAGTATGTTAGGGTACAAAATATGTTGCAACACAACAGCTGTCCAACTTAATTTTAATTGAGACCTGAACTGAGGAATTTTATGGTACAGCAAAGACATTTTAGAGCATGACTACTTGACTTTCTTACATCCTTGTTATTCAATCACCAGCATTAACCCCTTTGTAAAGCGTCTATACATCTCTGTACCCCCTATAAATCTTATGTACCCCTCTATGCCACTCTATAAATTCTCTCTACCTTGTATTCCCCTCTGTAGACCCTCTATACTTCCCTATAAACCCCCATACTCACTCTGTGCCCCTCTATAAACCCTCTCTACCCTCTATACTCCTTTATAAAGCCTCTCTTCCCACCTGTACATACCCTTTTTTTGTCCCTCTTCGCCTTCATAAACCCTCATAAATATAATCCTTGTGTATACACCCTTCAATTAACCCTATACACCTATGTGAGACTGATGTGATCACCTGTACCCTTTTAAAAACCTCTAAAAACCCTCCAATGAACCATCTATACCTCTATAAATGCCTTATACCCCTTTATACCCCTTTCTAAACCAACTACCCCTTTCTATAACTCTCTGTACCCTCTACATTCCTCTGTAACCCCCCTGTTCACATCTCTAAATCCTCTCTAGACTCTATAATCCCTGTATAAACCCTCTGTACAACCAAATAAAACCCCTGTAAACCTCTATACCCCCCAAAAACCCTTAAACCCCTCCAATCTAAACCCTCTATCCCCTTTATGAAACCTTCTATACTTAACTTACTTAACTATCTTAATTCCTTTAAAACCTTGACATGCTGTACTCCTCTATGAACCCGCTACAATATCTAAAGTACTTTATATAACCCGTGCACCCCTTCCTTGCTAGAAACCCTCTGTGCCCCTCTTTCCATCATCTGTACACCTTTGTCAGCCCTGGATCCCTTTACCCTGCTTCTCCTATCATCCCTTTATGAGCCTTATATCTCTAGTTCCAATGTATAGATGAAAGAAATACTACTCAAAGACAAAGATAAGTTCCACATCCACTCTCCCCCTTTTTCAAAAACCTGCGCAAGAAGCTTAAATAATCCTCTAAACTTCTAAACATAACATCACAGATTTGATACAGGAATAAAATCACCAAGGTTCTCTGAAATTATTATGAAAGACTGTAAAATAAAAGAAGGCAAAGCAGAAATACAGAGAACACTGGGTAAAGAAAGCAGAAAATAAGAATAAAGACAAGCAGTAAAGAAAATAAGTGATTAGGTGTTACCTGTCAGCGCAGCCTGGGTGTCAGAGTAGGAACCTGTCTGCAGACTGAGACCAGAGGTATCTGTAAAGTGCTGTAGTCCATCTGCTTTATAAAATTAGAGCAGAATGTGACCCACGCTGGGGCAGGAAGGTGGAGGCAGTGGTGTGACCAGAGTGGGCAGGTCAGTTTATATTCAGACTGCTATAAATTCAAACTAAAACGCAGAAAATCCCATCAAATCCCAAGAATGTTGTTGTTTGTGTGTTATTTTAAACATTTGTGAATAGATTTTAATGACATTTGTCTGCTGTTGGAACAAGGAATAAGTAATTACTTTTTAGCCACATGTAGCGCTGCCATTTATAAAGCACTTAAACTGTGAAAGAGCAACTTCACAGCGGCAGACCGTCTCCTTTTTGTTGACCATCTCCTGCTGTTAAGTTGCTCATTCAAGGTTAAAGGTCCAGTGGTTTGACCTACACAAGTGTACTCCAAGGTGTGTCAGCACACAGTGACATCACCGTTGGGCGTGGTTACAGGTGTGCAACATAACTGAAACTGAAAGTTTCAATTATGAGACTCTGTGTTGAGCTTTATATTCATGCTGCAAGATGAATCTATAATTTGTACAATATACAGTTATCTATTGTGCCCAGATGATGGAGCCTGAAATATCTCAACTGGCCTTGATTCCTTTTAAAATGTATTCTTCATTACATTAAAAAAAAGTACAACAATTTGAGCCCAAAGTGGCTTTTTCTCTGTACCTGAGTCATTTTGTGATTAAAATGTACATTTCCTAATGTAATAAAATAAAATAATGAGTTAATTGAGAGGTAAAATTTACAGTTACAGTGCTATGGACTATGTATATGTGCATATGTGTGTTTTCGGCACACACGGCGTCACTTATTTGATACTGTACCTACTGTAACTCGTGTCTAATTGAGATCATGTGAAAATATTAAAATGTGATCGAACATTAGCTCTACAGCATAATGATTCATTTTAATTGCAATAACACGGTAATCATGGGCGGGACTCACTTGAAATGCTGTGCAGTTTGTCCTTGTAGAGCTTTAAATCAGCCACTGGGTCCATGTGCAGACTCTGTCACCCAAACAAAAAAAACAAAAAAGATAAAATAATTTAGAGAAGTGCGTAAGCTTGGCAGAGGTGTGTGCTTTCTGGGTGCTTTCTAGTACTCTATGTTGTTATGTCATTAAGGCCTTGATTATCTGAATTTGTGCCACGGTTTGAAGATGGAGACTTGGATGACACAGCGGCAGGAACAAGAAAATAACAAAGAATTTATGCTGAGGACAAGTAACATGATAATTTTCAGTTAAAAAGAGGAGAATGACATTAAAAATGAAACAAACAACATTTATGAAGCAAAAACCCAAGATGAACCCAGGTTTGTTGTGAATGAGTGCACTGTCCTGGATGTGTAGTCCTCATCTGATCTGTGTTTATAACGTCTGGCATCGCTCATATTTGGCATAAAGTGATGATCACAAGTTCACTAAACTGATTTCTGAACAACAGGGTTCAGACAAGTTTATTATGAATCTACATTTACAACAATATAACTCTACTACTTTATACTGTAGATTGTGGACATGAGCAGGCGTGAAATAAATAAATGAAACTTGACAGTAAACGTCTACAACTATATATGATCTACCTAGATTGCTAGATAACGTTAGCAACAGTAATATGCTTTACTATGGATGGGTTGAGAATGTGCAATCCTAAAAACAAAAGGCTTTACCTACTGTAAACTAGAAGTTGATGACAAAAAAAAAATCTAATTTTCCAACATGATTTGTGATACAGTGAATTTACAGGAAAATTAACTGAAAATTAAACATAACAATTTCTGTTTTTGGCTGATTCTTGGAACAAATCACACAAAGGGTGAAAAAATTACATAAAATAAGAATCTAATACATATCCATAAATCAGTCTGGCTAATTTATTCCCAATCTACAAGCCTAAAATGAGCCACTACAGCCAAGGGATTTAAAGGAATAAAACAGTACGGCAAAAATATAATTCACAGTATATTGTCTCCCACTGTATGTCATCATATTTCCCAGCCCTATACTATATATTTACCATACCATAGATGTAGTAACAGTACGAGAGTGACAGGGAGGTTAAAGGTGGCTATACAGTAGTAAATCAAATTACCTGAGGCAGAACAAAAATCGAATGATGCAACTGAATACAACTTCATAATTAAGATTCCCTCATTTAACCTCATTTAACCTCATGTGCTGGATTCATCATAGACAGAGTGGGACACATTGAACCGAGTGAGGGACTGTGTTTTGTCCTCCATCTGGCCTCCATATAGATGGACAGTGATCACGAGGAATACATTTTAGTGTCTGTCTGGATGGAGGGCCAGCTCTCCTGCTCACTTCCCCTCATGGTGATGTCCCGTTATGTTATTAGTGAAGACAGACCATCTGTCCTCTCTGCATTAGTGCATTACTGAATTAAATACATACAAATTATACACAGCAGACATACTGTCGAAGAAGCTTTAAAGTTTACGCAGAATGTTTGTTTTTTTTCGAGGCAATAGTCATCAAACAGGGGGTCGGGACCTACCAAGCATTCACAAGACTAATTCAAAAGGTCACTGAATGATTAACAGGTTTGGAAAGCAGAATAAACATATCTATGTTCCAAAGAGTGTTATTTGTTGTCATTATATCACCTCTATATTACTCTATTAAACCAATCTCAGCAGAAGGTGTCACTCTGATACATGCAAACTGTAAAATTCGGTTGCAATTAGACATAGCCTGGTTTATCTGGTATAAAATTGGTATATTGTGACACACTCATGCTGTAAAAGTCTTCTGCACAGACAGAAATAAAACAACACCTGCATTTAAAAGAGAGCTATATCCTTTGCGCCTCTAAAACTGCAGTTTTTTGGAAGTTACTGTATGTTTGCTTGTAATGTCTCAGTGACTTCCTGTTTACATTAAACATTGAAATACAACATGTCTGATCACAGAGAACAGGAGGAGGCGAGAACAGATGACACTCAGTAACCAGACTGTCTGTTCCACTTCTTTTTTTTTCTCTAACCTGTTTTTGGATGTGATTCACAGCGTCATGTTTGCCAATTGGAGGAAGACAGAGGAGAAAATTTAGCCATTTGCACACACGCTTTAACAGTGACATTTGGCAAAGTGTTTTTTGTTATTTTTGCAGCATGAACAGCGAAGACATAGAAAATACAGACAGGTGAGAAAGTAAAGGAAAAACCAACATAAAGTGTTGTAGAAAGGTTTGGGGCCACCATGAGTCACTGCTCCTTGATTCTCTAAGCTTCTGAACTGGGGGATGAACACTATTCCTCCTAAAGATATTCCTTTATTGGGGGGGGGGGGGGTTGATGATGGTGGTGTCTAACACTTCTCTCCAAAATCTCCTATAGGTGTTCAACTGGACTGAGATGTGGTGACTGCTAAGGCCACAGGATATGATTCACATTATTTTCACGCTCATCAAATCATTCAGTGAAACCCCATGTGCCCTATGATAGAGGCATTGTCTGTTTTCCCACTAATCTTTCAGGTTTTTCCTTGGATTTGTCATGTGTCTGCATTTGTCATATGAAGATGATATGACTCTAAAATGAATTCTCATGGTATCTTGGCTTCCTTAGGTTAATAGTTGAGTGTTACTGAGAAATTGTTTAAAAAAAATTGACTTAATTACATTTGAATTAAGTTAATTTAAATTTCATTCTGATGATCTTTCAGAGATGGGTCAGGTGACTCTTTGCTACAATATACTGTATGTTCTTCACTTCACCTTTCTGCCACTGCAGTACTCATGAGGTGAGCTGTCATGATATATGACTGCCTTATATGTTTCTATTTCCATAGGTTTCATTAGCTTCCATCTTGGACAGCATCTCTAAATGAAAAGGGGCCTGCCATCTAACAAGATTTTCTGATTAGATAAAGGTTTAATTCGGTCATATCATGAAAAATATGCTCAATCATACAATAGTAGCTCTGCAATACGAGCCTGATTTGAACCTGGCTGGGGGAGAGATCTAGAGCTCGTTCACATCTGTGACAAAAACCCCTTCTTTTAATGGTTTCAGGGAAACGGCATGTCATAAACTCTAAGTCTTAAACAGCAGCCACTCGTTTGTCCTTAGCCTTATTTTTGCAACTAAACGTTCATCTGGAGTAATCTGTCTGTGTGACTCCAATGAGTGTCAGTATGTGCTGTGGTTGACATTTACATGGCTGAGGAGGGAAAAATACTTAAAACAGAGTCATTAGTTAACAGTTTGCTGTGATTTATCGGGAATTAGATTTTCTGCTGCATCATGTCTGTTTAAATTTAGGACACTGGCACAAAAACAAAGCAACACAATTTGTGATTTTGTAGCATTTCGTATGTTCGACAACAACACACAGCATTTAAATATAGTTGGATAATTTAATAGTACAATGAATGAAGTAATGGGGATCATGTGAAGGGACGAGGTACAGTAGGGCTCCTGGTACTTCTCCTTATAAAACCCTTATATATATCTGCATATAGTATATTTATGTTGTTACATCACATTTATACAAACATACAGTAATACATATATTATAAATATTGATCTATTGTTTTTTTATCAATTGAATAATTCATTTCTATTTTATTGCAGTGTATTTCACTGCAGTATATTACTATATATTGTATCATATACAATTATATCTCTCACTATCTCACTTATGAAGACAATGCACTGTTGGTTACAATAAGTTTTCTGTACAAATATCACACAGATGCATAAAGCATCAAATGTTTATGTACACTGGCCTTTCTAATTTCACTTTATTAGATACTAGTACAGTTACTTACTGTCAAATACTCATTGTATCTGCATGTAGCTTTCTAAATGTGATTTATAATACTTTGGTTTTATTTTAAAATTAAATCAATATATTACTTTAAAAACTTTTAAAATGTGAAAAAATGCACAACAATTATTTAAGGAAATAATATAAAAGTTTAAGTACAAAGCAAAATAAGAATAATTTTAATAATTTTTGTTGTAACTATTTTCTTTATAATCATATCATTATATATTATATTACATATTATTTATATTATATTAGTATAAATATATCAATAAAAGTAAAACATTTTATCTAACCATAACTTCACTTTTGAATCTGGCAAATAAAGGGACCAGGTAATGACCTATCTTGTTGATAATGTTGAAGTCTCAGAAACTCATGTGAGGAATTTTAAAAAAGTGTTGGATAATGAAAAATAAAGCACCCTATTGCAGTGGCTCCAAACATAGGGGTCAGGGTCCCTAAAAGGGGTCACAAGATAAATCTCAGGAGTCGAGAAGATTCGCAAAATAAAGAGGCTTTCTTATTCTTTCACAACACAAAATAATGTTTTCTTCTTCAGATGATTCTTTAATCTTATCATTTTTGTGTGTGAATCACTGGATATTGTGTAGATCTTTTAAGGCCAGCTAAAGACTCAAGAAAAACACTGTATAAATATGAATAAAACAGTATAAAAAGCAAATGTCATAAGATAGACAATAATCAGGATTAGGTAACGAGATAAATTGTTTATCAAGGAATCCGGCTAATTGAAAGAGCAAATGTGTGTTCGTGGAAAACTGATGGAATTAAAAGAAACAAACAATTGGGGATCACACTGAGTTATACGCTTATCATCATATTTGATTTTCACAAGAAACTGACCGAGACTACACTAAATAAGTAATCTAAATATCACGTTCTTCCCAGTGAAAAAGAGAGCAGCAATTTAACTGCTAAAAAGACTAAATTTTTATTCAGCATAGTATTTAATGAGTGATCACTTCCTCATAGCAATCTCAAAAAGCAACTATACTTATATTATTATTGCTATATGCTATAAACACTAGGATACACTGATATTAATTATTATCAGGTTATTAAAAGTGTGAATAGTTGATTGATTAAAACTGGCTGATCACTGTCATCCAGTGGTGAAAGTGAGTAACTACAAAATTCTTCATCTATGTTGTAATTATCCTACAATGACAATTAATGATCATTTTTATCTGCCTTATACAGCTGGTACAGCCTTGTCCCAACTTTAACTGAATCATTATTATAATTTTGCCTCTAAAAACAATTAACTAGAAAAAATAATAGACAGCCAACAAAAGCAGGTTTCATGTTGGATTTAATATGTGGATTTTTATTCATATTTTTTCTGTAGGTTGTAACAAAAAAACTAATAAAATTATAACTGTGCAGTAGAACTAAAAATTAACCTGTAACTTCATTCTTTTTGCAATTTCTTTGTGACTATGGCTTTTGTTTGGAAAATGTTTATCAGGTTTTATTTTGAAAACGGAAACAGGAAATGCTAGTTTGTTACTGACAATAACTCAACCCGGAAGACTTAGTAAGCAAACGGTGTTTAAATTCAAAATAAGGAAACTGCAGATATTAACCCTCTGTCGTGAAGTAATGAGAAAGACAACGAAATATCTCACGTGAGGAACATGGACGACGAACAACGGCAACAACTTGGGGGGAACCCGGACTGGATGTCCTGTCTGCCTGAGGAGCTGCTGGACGTCCCGCTGTGGAACCTGGCTATACCAGGTAAAATAAACAGAGGGAACGTCGGGTAAACAGGGATATTCTGAACTGTCCAGATTATAAACACACAGATTCGTTTTAGTTTAGTTTTAACGTGTGTTCATATTTAATTTCCTTTAAATTTCCAAATACTTTTGTCCATGTACTTTTGGCCAAAAAGTATTTTATAAAGTATATGGACACTGATCTAACTGTCCCATGTTTCCAGGGAGCCATGATAGCATGTCTTTCTGTCTGGATGTGTCCTCTCCTGTGCTGAGATCACAGCCCTGCCTCCTCAGAGTCATTGACAGGCTGTTTCCCTGCTGGACTCGCCCTTGTATTTCCCGCTGGGCCACCACACAGGTAAAGGAGTCCAATTTGGGGGCCAGCAGAGGTGTAGCAGGCTCCTGAGCATACTCTCCAATGAGAGAATCTGGCATTTGCATCAGAACTGGAATTGCAATGAATTGAATTACATTTTTTGTGGAATAACTGTCAAGTTGTGCTTTCTTTCATCTTTCTGTATTAATAGTCTCTCACTTTCTCACTGTGCATGTGCAGCAATCAGTCCTCAGTGATCAGTGTGATCTCGGTATTCGGTTCTTGGACCTGCGGGTTGCCAGGAAGCCGGCTGGAGGCAGCAAATTGTTCTTCGCCCATGGCATCTACACTCTGATGACTGTCAAGGTGCATGAATTAAATCACGGGCCAGAAGCTGTGCTCTCATTTAAAGTGCAAACTTGATTTACAGCAGTTTTTAGTAACAACAATATTTGTCTGCATGCAGGAGGCTCTGGATGAACTGGCTATCTGGCTAGATGCTCATCCTAAAGAGATTGTAATCATTTCCTGCTCGCATTTTGAATTGCTGACTGACAGAGATCATGCCTGGCTTGTGGAGTACATCATCACGCTGTTCAGAAAAAAACTCTGCTCCTCACAGGTACAAAAAAATGAAGACAGAGAAAGGGAACTGATTTGTTAAGAATATTTTTGATTTAAGTCATCTCCAGTTTCTCAGATGAGGATGAGGATTTTGCTGTTTTTCTCAGTTTGTTTTATAAAGTTTAAAATTCTATTAATCAGAACTGATCTTAAACTAATACAGAGTTGATTTTAAAACTTTACTACTAGATTAAAAGACTCTGGATGGTTTAGCACCGTCATACTTCCATACTCTTATTTGTTACCTCAGATCGTCAAACACTACAGCATTAAATGTACCAAGTATGGAGAGGATGCCTTCCTTTAATATGGAAACAAACTGCGGAACAACCTGCCCATAAATATGTGAATGCAACTTACAGAAAGTGTAATTTTATTTCATTTTATCTCATTATTACCCTCTCTTATTGTATATTAATTTAATATTTTCATGCAACACACATGGAAAGTGCTATGCAAGTAAAGTTTATTATTATATTATTATTTCTAAAGTGTGCATGTATATGCAGGACACTCCCACTCTGCGTTCCTGTTGGTCCAGAAGTCAGCAGGTCATTGTTTCCTATGGAAACCAGCAGGTGGTGCTGCAGCACCCTGAGCTGTGGACTGGAGTACCTTACAGGTAAAATGTGCAGTGGTGCTGTTTAACCTGTGTAATGCTTCTAATTTAGAATTGCATATGATTCACACCATGTTTTTATTATTATGCGTCAAAATCAAGCAGAAGCCCAGTATTATCAAACATTATCACCATATTCCAGCTTCTGACATTGGCCCATTTAGGTGTATATATACTACCTTCCACAACAACACCTCATCTTTAAAGTTAAATCAAATAAAAATATAATTTAAATATTAACCTGACTGGCCTCATGCATGCACTCTGTCTCCAGCTATGCTGACAGCCCAGACCCAGAGAAGGTGATCGCTTACCTGGAGGAGCAGAAGAGCAGAGGAAGACCAGGTAAGGCAGCAGTAGAAGTAAAAGTAGCAGTTACACTATAACAGCACTTCATTACAAGTAAAAGTCCTGAATTCAAAATTTTATTTAGGTAGAAGTATTAAAGCCCTGTCAGTAATTTCACTCACTGGTGTACAGAGTTCTGGTTTTATGTTCATTAAACTGAACCTCTTCTCTCCCAGCTGGTTTTTACGTCAGCGGGCTGAACCTGACGGAGGACACTCCTTACGTCCTCCTCCATCCCCTCCAGACCATGAGGAAGATGACGCTGAAGGCTCTCTCGCTGCTGCTCAGCTGGACGAGTGAGCAGCGGCCAGGGCCTGAGGGTGGGGTCAACATCGTCTGCTGTGATTTTGTGGGCATCAGTCAGTTCTGCTCGCTTGTGATTGGCCTGAACTACAAACTGCTGGGCGGACCCAGGACACTCGCTACCCGTACTGTCTGCAGGACACTGGGAGATACCATTGACTGTTACCATAGCAACCGCTAGGGCTGTGACTGATATACCTACTTATTTTCCTCCTTTTCACTTGGAGATTTCATCCTGTTTACATTGGTGTGTCTGTGTCAAATTCAGTATTAAATATTAAATTTAAATATGATTAACTGTGAACACTGTCAGACATGACACACTAAATATGTCTCATCATGTGAATATTTTGTATTATTTTTGCATCCTCATACTTTTAACCTCACAATTTTTCTATTATTTCATTTCATGTTAATTAATATGTTGGCATTTGGAATATACACTTTCACACATGTAAATAAATACAAACAAATATTGTATGTTTGTATGTTTCATGATATTAATAATCATTCAGTGTCAGCAGTGAATAGAGAAAAGCTCTACTGTCTCAGAGGGACAGTCTGGCTTACAGATAGCAGTCAATAATAATAAATACAAAAAGAATGCAAATAATAAAAAGATCCATAAATACATACTGTAAGTGCAGTACAGAAGAGGAGTAGTTTTAGTTAAAAAATATAACAGGAAACTATCACAGAAAGCATGAAATTATTCTGCTGTGAAACTGATTTCACTTGCTTTACTAATTTTACTGTATTTAAATGAAATGTTGTATTATGTATGTATTAGATTTGGTTGGTAGATACTCAATATCAAATAGGAGCAAAAGAACATGATGAAGACATCCCTGATTTTAACTGAGCTCCCTGAGATATTAACATTTACCTTAAACAAAGGCTCTGATATTAAAATAAAAAAATATTGACAAACTATACACTTTAGGAGAGAACATGGATTTTCTTCATCATGTCTTGTGAGGGGAATTTTAGTGGGAGTTGATGGAGTTTTGAGAGTCTCCTGGTTGTGTTTCTTCCTCAAGGCAGAGTCCTTGATCTTGGGTTAGGGTTCTGAACTATTTGACACAACAGGGTTGATTCATGTAAATTAAGTTATTTTTCTGCCTTCAAATGAATTCAATGATGACATTGCTTTTCCCTGAGTCAAGACATTTTTGTCCATTTTCTCCATCTGTTTTTCTAACACAAGGACACTGATGACTCCAATGATAAGAACCCAAATCCAGGATAGAGAGGTTCAGTGAAAGCACAGTAGAAGGTGTAGAGGTGAACTGGTGAGTCAGATGAGACTCCATAGAAGGACAAAGTAGCAGGCCAGTCCAGAAACACCCCAACTCTGTTAGAGGCAGCTGAGTGTTTAGTGTGAAGAGCTGTCCTGATGTTATTGTGCCAGGCATAGTAACATTTATCCGTCAACTCCAAACTCCATGACTTCTCATTCCAACCGAGCCTGCTGCCGTCACGAGCCCCGCTCCGTCTGAGCCCTCTGTAAGTCACTCCGATATCAACCCCTCCTTCCCAGTCCACCTCCCAGTAACAGCGACCAGCCAGACCAGCTGTGCACAGCAGCTGGTAGCACCAGTCGAATCTGTCCGGGTGGTCGGGATACGGCTGCTTCTCTATCGCCAGCATCACTTTCCTGTTGTTCTCAGTCAGGAGGACGTTTTTGTGAGCTGTGTTTGGGTCCAATGTGAGTTCACAGACGTCTGAAGGTGGAAAGAAACAAAATATATGGAAGCAGGTTTTGACTGAAAGGATGTCACATTAGTGGATTACATATTCAGTTTACAGACTTACACTTTGCCAGACCAGATGTCAACCACTGAACACCATCATGATCCACACTGGATCAAAGAAAACAAAGTCAGATCAGCATGGAGACAATTATCCCTCAAAAATCCTTTCTTTTATTTTTCCCTCCATACCTGAGAATGTCCATCCTCCATTGTCGATCCTCCAGTGCAGCAGAAAGCAGCTTCACTCCTGAGTCTCCTGGATGATTGTAGCTCAGGTCCAGCTCTCTCAGATGGGAGGGGTTGGCCCTCAGAGCAGAGACCAAAGAGCTACAGCCTTCCTCTGTGATCAAGCAGCCTGACAACCTACACAAACACAAAACACAATGAAGGAGTTTTGTAAAAAATAATACGAGCTCTGATTAAAACGATTTTCTCTTTACATGTTGGTTTGAAAGTTGCTGCAGCTCAGGTGCTCCTGCAGGTTCTATAGACCTCACTCACCATCAACATTTTGATCTGTAACAGTAGGAAAAGCACAGGTGTGGATAACATTAACAACTGCTGCTTACCTGAATGTTTCCAGTCTACAGTGAGGACTCCTCAGTCCAGCTGAAAGCAGCTTCACTCCTGAGTCCTGCAGGTCGTTGTTACTCAGGTCTAGGTCTCTCAGACTGGACGACTTGGTGCTTAGAATTGATGAAACATCCTGACAGCATTTTTCTGTGAGCCTCGTCTGATTTAGCCTAAAAAATTAAAACATTTCCCTTTACATTTTCATTTTTTAGCTTCGAAGGGTTCAGAAAAACTACATTTTAGCGAGGATGAAAAAGTTCCAGAGCTCAAACATACTGTATGTTACGCTGGTTTGTCGTAATGCTAACTGCTAACTAGAGAGCTACTGCATTACAACTACTTTCAGCTTGCAGGTAAAAGTAAAAGCACAGCTTCTTTAACACATCACTTCACCAACTTAAACAATTACTAATACTACAAGCAATGAGCACATCATATATATATATATATATATATATAAATGTAAATATCCACAAAGATAAATCAAAAGTTTTACACTGTTTAACAGTAATTAAAGCAAGAAGAATAGAAAATTTTAACATATAAAATGGTGTCAATTGATGCAGAAAGCTCATGGTGTTACAATAAGATCTCACCTGAGTGTTTCCAGTGCACATTGCGCATTCCTCAGTGCAGCAGACAGCAGTTTGACTCCTGAGTCCTGCACATGGTTGTTATTCAGATCCAGCTCTCTCAAACTTGAGGACTGGGAGATGAGAACTGAGGCCAGAGCTTCACAGCTCCTCCCTGACAATTTACAGCCACTCAGCCTGAAGGATTTCAATCCGCAAACTTACAGATTGCATAAAAACTTGTAACAGAAAATACACCTTTTTTGGAGAAAATGCGAATATGCTTGCTTTTTTTTTGGCTGATTTGTTAGAAGCTGTTAGTAGTAATTTCAGAAGTATTCAGAGAAGTTGTTGTAGTGATGGTGTTAATGAGCAGCAGGAGTCAGGACGGCGCGGGAGGAGGTGATTGCGGAAAGTTTTGAAGACATCAATCTCAGAGTTTAGTGTGAGTTGTTGAAGCAAACAAAGTAAGTAAAATGTCCCTTTATAATTCATCCCCCATGCAGAATACCGTAGTTTGGTTTCAGCAAAGAGTGAAGAGTCAGGTGAGATAAAGACAACCCAAAAAAAATTATAAATCACACGAACCACTCTGTCAGAAACAATGGTAGATATTGTGTTTCTGCTTTGGGATAAGTGAGGGATATTAAGACCATATTTAATGAAGTCATGTCTACGATGTAACGAATAATACATTTGTGGATCCCCAGACAGAGAGAGACCAAGAAAGCAAATACATCAGGTCTACTGGTTTCATAAATAGGCCACAAATAGCTGTATCACACTTTACAAATTGCAAAATCCTGACCTGACACTCTCCAGTGAGCAGTGTGGACTTCGCAGTCCAGCGGAGAGCAGCATCACTCCTGAATCCTGCAGGTCGTTGTTACTGAGGTCTAGCTCCTTCAGACTGGAGGACTGGGAGCTGAGAACTGATGAGATCTCCTGGCAGCATTTCTCTGTGAGGTTGGTTTGATTTAACCTGACAAAGAAACATTTTTATACTATAACATTTAATAAGTTGCTCACTTGACAGTCACTGTTTCCAGCCAGGAAATACTCCAAAACCTTACGACATGTATCTAACCTGAGGGTTTGGAGTCCACAGTGTGGACTTGCCAGTCCAGCAAAAAGCAGTTTGACTCCTGAGTCCTGCAGGTCGTTGTTGCTCAGATCCAAGTCTCTCAGACTGGATGACTTGGAGCTGAAAACTGATGAGAACTCTTCACAGCATTTTTCTGTGAGCCTGGTTTGAATCAACCTGAAAAAACGACAAGATTTTTTCTTTATAGTTCAAGTATTTACAGATAATTACAGACAGAACCACTTCAGTCTCTATTTATGATGACCCACATGCACTATAATAGTAAGGATACCGTTTTAAACCAGAGTGTCAGAATGTGATCTTACCTTAGAGTTTCCAGTCTACAGGGCTGACCATCCTGTCCAGAGAAGAGCTTCACTCCTGAGTCCTGCAGGTCGTTGTTACTCAGGTCCAGCTCCCTCAGACTAGAGGAGCTGAGACTTGAAGCCAGAGTATCACGACTTCTCTCCGACAGATTACAGCCAATCAGCCTGATAAAGAATTTCAATCAGTCAAATCACACGTAAGTGTCACGCCACTGATTCATTAACAACCTGTGAAACATCCTTTATCCTGACCTGAGTTTTTCCAGTGCACAGTGTGGACTTTCCAATCCAACTGAGAGCAGCTCCACTCCAGAGTCCTGCAGGTCGTTATAACTCAAGTCCAGGTCTCTCAGACAAGAGGACTTGGTGCTGAGAACTGAAGATAACCCCTGACAGCATCTCTCAGTGAGGTTGCTTTGGTTCAGCCTGGCAACATGAAGAGACGATACACCATAATTTAACTAGATCAATGCATAAAACATGACCACAAATATTACACCACAGTATGATCGAACCTCAGCTTTTCTAGCCGACACTGTGGATCCTTCAGTCCCACAGAGAGCAACGTCATTCCCGAGTCCTTCAGATTGTTGTTAGTCAGGTCCAACTCTCTAAGACTAGAAGACTGGGAGCTGAGAACGGATGCCAGACCTTCCCCGCTTTTCTCCGACAGGTTACAGCCACCCAGCCTGAACAAACAACAAAAACATACTTATCATTTCATACTTCAATAATTTTAATCACCAGTAAATTCACAGGAACTAAATTACATTTGCATATGAAAGAAAAGAGCTTTCAGTGGTGAGTTTACATATGAAATATTTAACACATTTTAATGTATTAAATTTGTCTGATTTCCTCTTACAGAGACTTATTTGAAGCTTTGACCACTGGCAGCAGCCTCAGAAGACCCTCCTCTGAAGCAGAGTATTTCCTCAGGTCAAACACATCTAGTTCTTTCTCTGATGACAGCAAGATGAAGACCAGAGCTGACCACTGAGCAGGAGAGAGGCTGGCTGTGACGAGACTTCCTGAGCTTAGGTACTGCTGGATCTGCTCCACTAGAGAACGATCATTCAGCTCGTTCAGACAGTGGAACAGATTGATGCTTCTCTCTGCGGAGAGATTTTTCCTGATCATGCTCTTGATGTACTCCACTGTTCCCTGATTGGTGCGTGAGCTACATCCTGTCTGTGTCATCAGCCCTCCTAGAAGAGTCTGATTTGTCTGCAGTGACAGGCCCACGAGGAAGCGGAGGAACAGATCCAGGTGTCCATTTGGACTCTGTAAAGCCTTGTCCACAGCACTTTGGAAGAGATATGACAGTTTAGATTTGTCCCTTAAGAGATTAGACCACCAGGTTTTTGTTTGAGACAGCTGATTGATGCCGGAGTTAGTGAAAGTCAGAAAGACATAAAGAGCAGCCAGAAACTCTTGAATGCTTAGATGAACAAAACAGTACACCCTCTCCTCGTACAGCCCTCTCTCCTCTTTGAAGATCTGTGTGAACACTCCTGAGTACACTGAGGCTACTGTGATGTCGATGCCACACTCAGTCAGGTCTGATTCATAGAAGATCAGGTTTCCTTTCTGCAGCTGCTCAAAAGCCAGTTTTCCCAGAGACAAAACCATCTCCCTGCTCCCTGGGTTCCAGTGTGGATCTGCACCTGCTCCTACACGATACTTATTGCTCCACAATTTGGCTTGCACCACCAGGAAGTGGATGTACAGCTCAGTCAGGGTCTTGGGCAGCTCTCCTCCCTCTCTGGTCTTCAACACATCCTCCAGAACTGTAGCAGTGATCCAGCAGAAGACTGGGATGTGGCACATGATGTGGAGGCTTCGTGATGTCTTGATGTGGGAGATGATCCTGCTGGCCTGCTTCTCATCTCTGAACCTCTTCCTGAAGTACTCCTCCTTCTGTGGGTCAGTGAACCCTCTGACCTCTGTCACCATGTCAACACACTCAGGAGGGATCTGACTGGCTGCTGCAGGTCGTGTGGTTATCCAGAGGCGAGCAGAGGGAAGCAGTTTCCCCCTGATGAGGTTTGTCAGCAGCACGTCCACTGAGGTGGACTCTGTAACATTAGTCAGGATCTCAGTGTTGTGGAAGTCAAGAGGAAGTCGACACTCGTCCAGACCGTCAAAGATGAAGACGACCTGCAGCTGTTCAAACCTGCAGATGTTCAGACCTGCTTCTTTGGTTTCAGTAAAGAAGTGATGAAGAAGTTCCACCAAGCTGAACTTTTTCTCTTTCAGCACATTCAGCTCTCTGAAGGTGAATGGAAATGTGAACTGTATGTCCTGGTTGGCTTTGTCTTCAGCCCAGTCCAGAGTGAACTTCTGTGTTAAGACTGTTTTCCCAATGCCAGCCACTCCCTTTGTCATCACTGTCCTGCATGGTTGAGCTTTTCCTGGCAATGTTTGGAAGATTTCTTTACATCTGATGGTTGTTTCTGGTCTGGCTGGTTTCCTGGATGCTGTTTCAATCTGTCTGACCTCATGTTCATCATTGACCTCTCCGGTCCCTCCCTCTGTGATGTGAAGCTCTGTGTAGATCTGATTCAGAAGGGTTGGATTTCCTGTTTTACCAGTCCCCTCAAACACACACTGGAACTTCTCCTTTAAACTGGATTTGAGTCTACGCTGGCACGTGGCAGGAGATTCTGCATGAACAGAAAACATTAGTAAGTCGATGGTACAATAAATGTGAAGTGCATATAAAAGCATTTGCTAAAAACCATCCAAATTTTCCTCAAAATCAACAAAAGAAAATGTGAATTAATGCACTTTTCCATCCACTACAGTTATGCGAATATTAGGAGTTGAGTGCATCAACATGAAAAATTGGTGGCAGCGCCATTAAACTGACGAAGAGAAAAAGGGTGCAACAAGATGACCCTATTAAAAAGAACGCTTGTCAACAGTGAGTAGAAATTTACAGCCTCTATATCACCCCACACTGATGTGATGTTTTCATCTTTTCAGTGTCACTTCATGTACATCATGATTTATTCACCAAGACTGTTTCAATTGCAAAATGAAAATGCACATAAAAACAGGTTGTTGGAAATGCACTTTGTTCCATTTGGTTATAGCCTTAGCAGCATCTCCAGCTTCGGATCTGCAAACCACTTATTTCCCCTTTACATCATGTAACAGCTGTAACAATTCTCTTACTGCTCTGCAGAGAGTCAGCCAGTCTCTCCTCCTTCATTCTCCTCAGGAAGAACAGTGTGATTTTCAGGAACGCCTCCCTGCTGCTCCTCATAGCCTCCTCCTCATCACTCGTCATCACCTCGCCATCTAAACATGCTGAATTTAAAACCCTCTGCATCCTCTTCAGCTCGTTCTTCACAAAACTAACAATGTTCTGCTCAAGCAGCTAGAAAACAAGGAAATACAAATTCTCATTGCGTCATCTGTCACACAGTGAAAGCCTGATTGTCTATAGACATTGGAGAGCATTAGAACAAAAATGGTAGTTTATGATTGCTTCTAAATATGCTTGTACGTGTACACACCATAAATATGGAGTCCACATCTTTTTGATGTTGTAGGGCAGACTGACCACTGTGAACTTCTGATCTCTTCTGTTGTGGTCTGTGGAGGACAACCAACATACATAATATTACTTTTCATATTAGTTTACTTGTCATTTTATTGGAAAAAGAAATTATCAGTTACCGTGGATAGAGCACTGATCTATTTACTATTTACTGCATATTTACATGATAAAACACAAAAACACAACTAAGCTTTTTGTTGCATGCTCTGTCACTGAATTTGACCTATGCATTTTTCTTTCTAGAGTCTTTGGGCTGTAATTTTATTATTAATACATGTCTTGTTCTTTGCATTGTTGATACAGACTTGTTGACTTACTCTTTTTCAGAAGAGTGTCTTTGAAAAGCAAGTGGTGGCTCCATTGAATCTTTGCTCTTCATGGACACACAGCTGGGTACCGGAGAGTCTGGTCTCTTCTCCTGGATCCTAACAGAGACAAATAATTGACAAAGAAATGTAGATTCAACCTAAAAACTGCCCTGTTAATGCTAACATAGTATGCTGACTCACTCAGTTTCAGAAGAATGTCTTTGAAAAGCAAGAGGTGGCTCCATTGAACAGTTGCTCTTCATGGACACAGAGCTGGGGACAGGGGAGGGTGGTCTCTCCTGCTGCTGCTCTGGGCTTCAACAAAACACAGGGATTTTACTTTTAATAATCATTTCAGACAAGAAAAGAATCCAGGCCTTGAGATATCTGAAGATAATGTAAATGATATGGAAGATTACCAACTCAGGGTCCTGAAGAGAGTATTTTTTAACATTACTTTGTGACTCCAAAATCAAAATTTGTCTGAAAGAGGGGTATCAGGGACAGGATGAGTTCTTGAAGCAGTGTGCTAAAAAAAATGGCTGATCATTGTCATATTTTATGGGCTTGCCCTTTGAGCTTTTCACAATAAGAAGAGATTGCTAAATAGAAAAAGAAATTACTTGGAATAGAGGGTGGGTTGCTCTTTTGTCACATAATACCTGGGAAAAAAATCCAAGACAAACAAACCAACAAAAGACAACTGGATTGCAAGTGTCAACAAAATAAACTGTATGGAGAATTTGACCTTTACCTTAGATTAGGGTGGGATCCATGTAATGTAAAATACTGGAGAAAATGAACTGTACATACAGGTATGTGTAACTGCTGCTTACCTCTGAGCGTTGGTCCAGTCACATTCCCCATATGAAGAGGTTTTTGAGGGGAGGATCCCCTCATCTACCCCCCCAGGCAGATCCATAGTCAAGCTTACACCTTTAAGAACACACCAAAAACACTGGGTCAGTCAGACTCCTGTATCAAGTCTGCATAGTGGCAGAAAGAGACACACGCTTGCTTATTGTCTTATGTCTGTTTAAACTACAAACATGGCATATCTTGGACAAATCATGAGTAGTAATCATAAGAAAGTAGAAAGTACAACGGCAGCTAATTAAATCAAAATGACACATTAGTTACGCTGCTGCTGTGTTGTGTTGTGACAGGTGAAAAGTTTTTAATGTATTTAGTCTTTACTCTTTAGAATGGAACCTGACAACTGCTGATCCAGGATCAGTTTGAGATGCACCCCAGGGAAAATCTCATAGTAATCTAGATGGTGATTATCAATTTGAGATACATGGTACTTTAATTAAATGTATCTATTACCTACAACTTTATACTTCTCCACTACATTTCAGGATGACAGCTGTAGTTTAAATTAAAATTTTACACACAAACCTAATGATTATTTCATTTGTCTGTTTCATTATTTTATCATTTAAATGATGTACTCTCATCCATGAAACAACCAAGCTGTGAGTAAAGCAGTTTAGATTAACTTCATCATGATTAAGTACATTAAAGTGCTGCTAACATAGTTGAAAATAATCAACTTTTACTTTTTATAATTTAAGCATTTTGTTGGTAGAGGAGACCTGGGGATGGTTGTTACACTTTTGGCCTCTGCACATGTAAATAACTAAAATCATTTTTGTAATAGAGTCTACTACAAATTGCAATATTTTCAAATTCTCCAACTACATCACATAATTAATTAAAGCACTTTTAATGCACAAAAGACTCATCCGTTTTTGTTACCCACTGTCTTGGCATGCTGAGAAAAGGAGTAGTATAAATAACAGTTTTGAAAGGTGTAACCATCCCCACCCCTATCAGCCATTGTTTAGCTAGCTGTAGCAGCATGATGGTTTGAAATAAGCATATATGAAAGGCTTCATATTTTACCTAAGAGACTCTCTAATCTAATAGTTACATCATTCTAACATAAACAGTATTATTACTAATCAAAGTATAGACTTGGTCCATAAAAATACTTTCTTACCTGACAATCAATGTTTTGGATGGAAACTCTGTATAGTATACCCCTGATAGCTACTTATACTTAGCTGTTTTGAATACATGTAATGGATTATTTGTATATTGTAGAACTACAAGAGCACTTTAGCATCCTTTACCAGTACAACCACGTAATATATATGTAAAACATATATGTCTGACTGTTGCACCTCTAATAATAATGGGCAATAAAGCGCAAAAAAATAAATGAAAGTTACAGTACCTTTTCCATGGTCAAAAAACAACTGCGTCACACAGTGTTGTAACCAACTTCACTTCCCGAGACATTCAACAACAATAAATGACACAGAGCGAAGGCGCAACTGAACCACAGTTAGTTCCGCCCGAGTTTTGATTGATTGGACGACAGGCATTCCATGAGTGCTGGGACTTATAACTGCATATATCACTCCGCTTAACAGGTGTTCTATCAACCGTTAATTAGCGTTATATTAACGGTCATTGACGCCTGCTGATATTCAATACATCACTCCCTCTCGGTGCTATTGCATGAATACGGGTTGGAAATAACTTGTCAGGTCTTGTGTGATGCAGAGTCCAGTGATACACCCAACTGTTTCGACTTAAACTAGTTCTTGACGAAGGTGCCGCTGCCCTGATGTGACACTTGCAGGCAACTAGTCAGAATGTGTCCTGCCTTGACCCGAGGCTGAGGCGTCTTATTCCCCCTCATGGTAATTAAAACTGGTAAAAGATAAAGTAGAGCTTCTTTTTGGATGATTTCGGGATGTGTTAATCCTGCATGTGGTTAAAGCAAAGAGGGAGGTCTGCCTGAAAACAGAACTGAGGGCAACAAACTACACTTGTCTGCATTTTCAAAAGGAGGGGGAGCTGTGTATCAGAAAGGTAACTAGAAACCGTAATGTACAAATTACACTGATATTAATACTGTAAGCAGAGAAACCTGTAAAATATATAACTATAAAAAATTATTAGTTTTAATAGGGACATACTCAGAAGTGATTAGGCATTTTCTGTTTTAAGCATTTTCTCTTCTGTATTTTGAATTCCTTAAAATAACTAAACTAGCTTCCTCTTTCCATTCCTTCTTGCTGTCTCTTTCTTTTCTGCTATTTGCAAAATTAAAAAAACTGAACAGTGAGATGTGCAGTTTAGTTTTTCCACAGATTATTCTTCATGATTTTGGTGACCTCCTGACCTTTCCTCAAGTGTCATATCAGGTCAAAAATGTTCCTCCTTCCACTTTGGTTTGAGCAGACGGAGACCAGGATGGACAAGTGTTTAGTAGTTTAAGTGCATCTAAGTGAAATAAGTGTGGTTTGACTCATAACAGAGCTTTGCAAATTTCTATGCACTCACTGTCCTGCAGCTAATGATTGCTGAAAATAGGCTGCCGCTGCTAATACAACTCCATCTCTGCAATAATGAGGCACATCCGAGGAGGCAGGTGTCTAATGACGATAACAGTTGGAGGATCATCACAGAACAGGGCTGGAAAATAACACAAATCTCTCAAGAGACTCTGAGAGAGGGTAGACAGACAGTGAATTGCATTCCTCATATCATATTCAGTGAAATCTGAACAATCAGACATAATACAAACATTTTTAGATTTAGTGGTGACTTCCACTTCTTGAGGATATCATTTCTTCCACGGTCCATCTGGAATAAATATCTGTAAATCTTTTTTCTTTTTCTAATAATAAAGTAAGTAATTCATTGAAAGTTGAATGAATATCCATTGTTACAATTCAAACTGGAACTGCTAATAGAAAATTCGCAGTAAACACATTCGCAGTAAATACAGTAACTGACTCCATGGAGATTACACTTCCTGTTAAGACAAATAATAAAAACGTTACAAAATACATCTATATGAACTTTTGTCTGTTGAATATTGATATAGTTGTTCATTCCTGCAGCATTTGTCACTGTCTAATTCATAAAGGATACAGATATTTACACCGTGTTGAAACACATTTCTGGGAGGGTGGCTTGGTCGCTGTTATCTCAATTTTGCATCCTGCAGGGAATGACTTGTATTTCAGGAAGACAACTGTTGTTTTTGAGTTACATGACATGAACAATAGCAAGCTGGCTGCTGCCTCACACAGTGACATGTGGTCATGAGTCCTTATCCTTATCTGGACCATGGTAGTTAAGGAAGCTAAATGAAAACACTCCAGGAACAGACTACTAGGAAAACACTTCTGTAGGCACATGTCCAAAAAAGGCATCAGGATGTTGGACTTCTTCTAATGACCTCTGCGTGTCCTTGTCCTCTGAAATCTTTGCATTGCCCTGCACCGTCAAACATGTACAAAACTGTATTAGTTTGCCTTAAATTTGTGACATATGTATATTTTACATTTATATCTTTTATATTTCAAATCTTTCACTCTAGTTTCAGTTCAGCTGTAACAGCATGTCACATTGCATTTCACTACATATTGTTTATATATATGACAAACACGACCACTTGAAACTCCCTGTCAACTCAACTGGACTGAATATCAGCGACAGAAAAGGCTGTTTACATTGTAGAAAGTGACAGAATGAGTTTATGACCTGCTTAAAAGCCAACTGTGGCAATTCACTTTTTAATTAATAGGATAAATAATGCTGTAGTTATTTTATTGTCTACAGCAGGCAATAATACTCAAAACCATGTTACACTTACTGAGGTCAAATGAACTTAACGCCATTGTCCTCTTCACATGCAAATTAAGAATTCAAGGTGGTCATGTCAGTTTAATATTAATAAGTGTTCATCATGTGTTTAGTGTAGTAAATAAACTTGGTGAGTCATTACACAGTGGAATAACTTCCCTGTGGCAGTTAAAGATCATTAAGTGAGGTTAAAGGTCAGTGAGTTTTCTGTCTATCATGAGATCTGATATCCGCCAAACTCGTCCTCTACTGCCACCCTCAGGCAAGAAGAGAAGCCCCTCACAGTACAGTCAGTCTTAGTATCACGCTATGGAAATATTAAAGAGGAATCAAGCAGCATTTTATATGTGGTGTCAGCTTGACACCACGTTTCCCCACAACCATCAGCTGAGAACGTAACTGAAAATTTCCACACAGATTTATTCAATGAGCTGCAGCATTTGAGAAATGTTGCTCACATAACAAAATGGAGACAGATTACAATCTGCAGGGGTTAATACACATCTTACTGTATTAGTTATGACTCTGTTAGTACATGAAAATATCTTTCTAGCCTCCAGAAACTGACGAAGTGGAGACGCCAAGGAGCTAGCTGCAGTGCATTTACTGTACTGCTCTCATATAAGAAGCTAAATAATTAACAAGCTACAGTGCATAAACATTTATGGCTGAATCCTTTTCCGGATATCTGTACATTAATTTTATTTGTTTGCTTACTATGTGCACAAACTTTATATCAGTGGGAAACTTCTCCCTGATTTTTTTTCAGGATCACAACAACACATATTCAACATCTTTGTTTGTTTTTGCACATTTTCTGGATATATTTGGAAATGTTATTATCCTCTGTGAGAGCATTCACATCACACATTGTAGTTGAACTAGAAAAGAGCACAGTTTATAAAAAATAAATATCCCTTTGTTATTGCTAAAAATATCTTCCCATGTAAAACAAATGAAACGGTTATTACTCAAGTGCTGTGGGTTACAGAGAAAAGAAGTTAAGAACAACAACATACATTTCATATACAATGTTTATCTCACTGTTGGACGCTGAAATGTGTTGATGACTGCACTGTTTGAAGAGATAAACAATCGCTCCATAATCCCCTGCAGCAAATACTGAATATCAAAGTAAATGTCATATTTAAGCCACAGGAAACCTTGCTGAAATGATTTTTAACACTGATTTTCAGGTACTTGAGCTGTAAATTTCGCATGTTAATATTTTCATGACACAGTTTTTTGGTTAAATGCAGGCAGTAAACATGAAATGTGTATGTGTAGTTAAGACATCATTCAGTGGTGTATCCCCTCTCTGAGATATTACCATTATATTACACTCATAGTATAAACCTTTCTTAAAAATAAACACCCGGAGACCTTTAAGACACCCAGAAGGTCGTTTAGAAAAGAAAATGTCCAAAATCCTCAAAGACTCCTTTGCTTGTTCCATCTAGGAAGCTTTGCTCTTTTTGATCAATACAAAAATGTGTGTTTTTCTGTCTGAAAATGTAGAAATCAGTTGAGACAAATATAACTGATAATAAAACTAGTTACTTTTGTAATTTCAGGCTGCCATCTTTGTTTAGTTTCATCTTTGATTTGAAAGGAGTGGGAAATAGGTTAAAAATCCTTTTTATTGTGCATCAAACTGAACATTATTTCATCCAGATGGTGAGAAGAGTCTTTGAGGAGTCCAGAAATACCTTCAAATTAGATTAGTCTTGTTAAACCTTTTTAAAAAGCTCCTAGGTATTTATTTTTCAGAAACACTGAAGCTTAGTTCATGATTTGAATGTTTTGGTTATAAATAAGAGCTGTGTCCTTGTTATTTTGGATAATCGATCCACCACACTGTTGATGGGTTTGGAACTACTTTCTACCAGACAAATAGTCCCTATGAACCCTGTCAATTATCCAAATTAATCAGGACACTGTTTCTGAAAAAGAAAGTCGCTGTTAAATTCTATAAATTGAATTTTCAGTGCTGTGAAAACCACAGACAAGTCAATTCACCTCCACTGTTCTGGGGTCAAAGCAGGAATCAGAAATAAAAACATGGCTTCGCTAGCTAGCACCAAACATGCTAATTTCAATATACTAGCTGACACGTCACAAACACCAAAAAGTGTTGATGAAGCTGCACCTTTTGAAACACAGTCACCTTTTAAGGCTGCCAGAGTGTGTGTTACTGTAGGTCACCTGAGCTTAACTTAGGTTCAACATGTGGGATAATCCTGTATAGCACCATATAAGAGGGGCTAACAAACATAAACTAATTATTAATTAGAAAAAACTTATTTACAAAGCACCACGTACAGTGCAAAGACAGATAAGAGTGTGTGTGGACAAAAGCCTGGCTGAACGCTTTCAGATTTTCCTTTGTCCAGTGTGGTGTGTGTGTGTGTGTGTGTGTGTGTGTGTGTGTGTGTGTGTGTGTCTATCTCTTAGAGTGGCCGAGGCTGTTCTCGATGCACAGCACGGCGTAGGAGCTGGAGCAGCTGCTGGAGCTCTGCTGGAGCAGACTGCCGCTCTGCAGCGCCGACGCCATGCCGTTGAGCGCCCGGTCGCCCACACGCCACGTCTCGCAGAAGCCATCGACATGCTGCTGACCGGTGCTGGTCGACCCGTGCCACATCATCTTCTCTGGCCTGGGATGACACAGACACTTGATTACTTTGATTACAGCTTATTTCCAAAATATTAAAATACTGTCCTGGAATGAAGGTGTAATATTGTCTTATAGTCATTTACTGTATTTTGCTCACCATGTGCCGTCACTGAGAACATTCTTGCCATCAAAGGAGTAGATCGGCACGTTATCCTTCATTCTGCCATCATTGAAGATGGCGTCCCAGTTGTCAAACAGAACCTCATCCTGAGAGAGATGAGAAAACACAAGCAGCTCGAAAATCTGCTGACCAATAGATGTGCAATTAAGTTCCTTTCCTTCATTTAATGCTCTTCTGACTTGTGTGTTTTGAAATGAATAATCAAAACTACTGGAGTGTGACAGGTCCTTGTACATCCAAACAGGGATTCGAACTTGCATCGACAGCCTTTATTGGTACTCTACACTGTTCTCTTCAAGTGGAAGAGTCAAATAAAACCGGATTTCAGAACCTGATTTCCGAAAAAAATAAATTTCTCAAAATGTCAGACATTTCCTTTCAGTGGCTGGAAAGCCTCTGTTCAGTACCTTCAGGTTGAGTATTGGCAAATGGTCTCTGTCTGCCCTGCGGACGACGCTGTGGAGATCCTGGAGTCTGGCGGACAGGAAAGCCCGGAAAGTTCCCTTCATCCCGATGGCCTGAGCCTGGGTGAAGCACAGGAAGTCTGCACCGCGGATGCCTCTCATGGAGCCAGTCTGAGGGCTGTTCAGAGCGATCAGGTGGAGCTGTGGAAACACCAACATGCTCGGTAACATTATATACAGTACATCTGTGATTAAACCAAGTGCAGCTTCCATGTGAGTGTGATGGTTTAGAATTGGCCTCTCATACCCCTGGACCTGAAGTGTGATGGTGGACTGGAGTCTGGGGCACAGGAGGAGGTGGTCTTCGCTGAGGGGTGACTGGGTAGCGAGCAGCCGGGTATGTAGGGTGTTCCTGGGCCGTATCGACTGAATACCTACCGTCTGGTTGGTTTAGTCGGTCTGCATAACTTGGAAACCTTGGATCTGTTGGTGCTGGGTACCGTGGGTCCGGCTGATGCCGCGCGTCAGGGTGGTATCGTGGGTCAGGGTGGTATCGGGGATCCGGGTGGTATCGGGGATCCGGGTGGGTTGGGTATCTAGGATCAGGGTTTGACGGGTATCGGGGGTCTGCGTGTGTATGATGATGCATGTCAGGCTGTGACTCGGTGTCAGGTGGGCTTTGGGAGTCAGGGTTGGAGTGGTGGTCTGGAGTGAAGGGGATGACTGGTGGGGGCTCAACAGCTGCAACCTCATTACCCTGGAGATAATGTGCATGACATGGATTAAAACAATGTGAGCTGTGTGTTCTGGAGAAGAGAAAAAAAGTGCAACTACACTTACATCACCACTGGGCAAAGCAATGTAGCCCCCGAGCTGAAAGATAAAGAAGAGGCTGCATTAATACACAAAGAACTACACCAAGGCTGAGTTAGGATCATAATAAAGAAAAATGTTTACCTGGACCTGTCGAACTCCATCTCGGACCCGTAAGTAGAGATCTGTTTGGTCTAAAATGTAGACCAGAGAGCCCTCAGGTTGTCTTCTAGCGGTGGCTGTCATGGTATCATAAGACCTCAGCACTGTCACCTGCAAACACAAACACACAAGTTGATCGGGGGACGATATCTGTTTGATTCTGCTGATAACTGTGCAGCTTAAATGTGTAGACTGAAATATCTCAACAACTATTGGATAAATGGCCATTAAATGTTGTGCAGACATGTATGATCCCCAGAGGACGAATCCTAACGACTGTGGCGATCCCTTGACTTCTCCTCTAGCGCCACCAACAGGTTGACACTTGAGTAAAATATCTCAACATTCAACAGTCACATGGTCTACTGAAGGGTACCTGTATTTTTCCTTTGCTTCATTAGTCATGGGTATTTTTCCTTAGTGATTAATTATTAATTGATAATTGGTGTTGTTTATAATTAGACAGACGCTCATGAGTCAGCAAGTCCAGCAGATGTGTAGTAAGTCTTGGAGCTAATGAGGAAATAAAGCAGAAATATGACTGTGTCAAACGTCTTCTCACCCCAGAGGAGGATCCAGGTAGTCCAGGCACTCCAGGTGGTCCCGGTGGCCCAGGAATACTGATAGCTGTCATTTAAAGACAGGCACATGAGCTTGAATGAGACTAAACACAGACTTAATCTTGAGTATTTGGGCATGTTTATGATTAAGACTCACTCTGTGTGCCCCGGTGGGATCCAGTTATATAGGGTCCTGGAGGTCCAGGTGGCCCTGGTGGTCCAGGTTGCCCATCATAGCCTCTTCCTGGTGACCCAGGTGGCCCCTGAGGGCCTGGGGGTCCAACGATGGAGTCACCTTTAGGGCCCTGATGGGACAAGAACATTATAATTTAAGATGCAGCAAGTCAAATGGAGGCAATAAATCCTGATGTTGGATTATGCTTTTGATCTTACCGGGGGCCCAGGCACTCCTGGGGCTCCATGACTCCCTCCATAGCGGGGGTCATAATATCCTCCTCCCGGTTCTCCTTTCTCTCCTTTCAAGCCAGGACTTCCAACTTCACCCTTCAACTCATTCTGGACACAAATGTAAAAAGAGACCAACAAAAACCTTACTGACACTAATACTTTAACCATAAACTGTGATCCATACAATCAGAACTGTGTGGGAGGTCTAAAGTTGAGGATTACCTTTAAAGTGTAGATGTCATAGTTCGACCCAAGACCTGGATCAAAAAGGAAAGGCCTTGCTTTAAAATTGTCTCAATGCTGAAAATATAAAACTTTTACTTTAAGCTTTTTCAGCCTTTATGTGCAGGTTTTAGTGCTACCTGGAATCCCTGGTAGTCCACGGTCACCTTTCTCTCCTTTAACAGCTGTAAACGAAGGGAACAGCAGCAACAGATTAAGTTAAACACAAGCAGTTTTACCTTCACAGGAGAAGACATCTTTAAAAATATGTGCACTTGCTTTCCTGTTGAGGGTTAGAGAAGAAGTTTGATATCATTCTCATGTCTGTGTGTTGGATCTGCTGCTGGAGCCAGCAGCTGGTTAGCTTAGCTTAGCATAAAGAGTGGAAATAGGGGGAAACAGCTAGCCTGGTTGTGTCCAAAGGTACATCTGCCTAAAACTCATCAATTAACACATTATATCTTGTGTCTTTAATCCAAACAAAAAGTGTAAAAACTGATTCACCGTAACCCATCTCCTATCTTTATATGAGCTTAAAGAAGATGTTTCATCGATGGAGTCTGATCGCTAAACCTCTCTCTGTTGCTCTCCTTACTGAAACGAGAGTTGCATCAGTCTTGTCATCTAACTACTGGTAAGAAAGTGAGTAAGTATCATTCACAGTATGAGGGGATCTCACCGGGGTTATATCTGGAGTAATCGTCATATCCCTGAAAAGAAAACACATCCGTAAATAAATACCCCACCTCACTCCTCATCTCACAAGACACACAACTGCTGCAACACTACGGTAGAGATTTCATGTGTCGACTCACTCTGAGTCTGTCGATGGGAACAGGAGCTCCAGGAGGTCCAGGGGGGCCTGGTGGACCTGGGGGACCCTGGGACACAACAGATATTGATAGCTGTGAGTATATACTACACAAGCTGATTGAATTTAGGCTTTGATTACTTACTTAACATGGAAAAATAAACCAAAATCTGTGACACTCACAGGGTATCCATATTCGGATCCAGTGCCTGAATCTCCCTTCTCTCCTTTGACGCCGTTCAGCCCTGGCCGACCCTACAGCAAAACACACATTCACAACCATACTTACCATCTTAAACTGATTTGATATGAAGATGTAATTTGACATTTGCAGGAAACGTACTTACCGGTCGGCCCGGGAGCCCGATCTCTCCCTTCTGACCTTCAGGGCCATGTGAACCCTGGAGGGAATAAAAAAGGTTACACAGTTTTATTACACACATTATGTAATATCAGCAAAAACACTCAAAATATGGTATATATAAATCTGGTACGCACTGAGGGTCCCACAGGGCCGGGAGGTCCCATCTCACCCTGTAAACAAATACAAGCTGTAAACACTGATATTTTAGGCTTCAATCAGTAGAACTGTACTGTGGACGCTTCCATTCATGAAAAATAACAAGACAGAAAGAAAGAAATCATGTTAGATGTCATATAATTTGAGATGTGATTCAAAAAGGTTTTTACCGGCTGTCCTGCCAGGCCACCCAGGTACATGGGTCTGCCATCAGGCCCCATAATGACACCAGGCTCTCCTTTCTGTCCCTGAAGAAAAAAACATTTCAACATAAACATTTACAACCAACACTGGAAAAATATGATTGAAAAATGACTGCATCAAAGGAAAAAAGAATATGTGTGTTTGAACTACACTGTGCTGATTTTATTTTGAAAGGCCAAGATATCAACATTGTTTTCTGAGAAGCCAAACTTACATTAAATATGTCTAGCCTTAAAGTAAAGCCTTAAAGTTCTTACAATTTAATTTTTAACTGACAAAAAACTTATTTATATACTGTCTTGATAAATAAATAAGACTCGAAACCATACGATGTTTAACAAATTCATTGAGTTGAGATAATACGATATTTTTCATAGGAAAGATAAGAAAACATTAAAATCTTTATCTTGAAAAAAATATAAAATAAATAATATATATGTATATACAGTATATATATATAATATATCTTTACAGTATATAATGATGCAAAAATATGAATCTTTGATTGTGTAAAATGAGAAATTAATTGACTAAAATGTGGATTATCCTACTTTAGGTGCATATCCTGGAGGACCAGAATCTCCTTTGTCTCCTTTTGGTCCCACAGGCCCCTGGATCAAAATAAATAACACAAAACTGATTCCATTTTTGTGCATTAACTGGAACTTTCCTCGCTGAATATGTGATAATGACATCGATACGTACCGGGAATCCTGCCCGACCTGGAATACCTGGTCCCCCCTGCAGAAGAGCGAATAATAAGGCATTGAAGAAAAAAGATGAAATATTCTTTTCACGTGTTAAAAACTTCAGACTTTAGTTTAGTAAGGTCTGTAGTGAGATGGGTTAGAGGACCAAAGGGTGTGTCCACTCACCTGCCACCCTTCGCTCCAATATACGTCGTTATACTACAGCAAGACAAAGTTAGGTCAGTTAGTGTGGAGGTGAACAAACGATGACGCAAGCAGTGACTGTTAGTGAATATGAGCAACTCAAACACTAATTCAGCCTCAATCAGTGATTTAGTGAATCAGTAATTAAGTGGCAAGCTGTCGTGTGCAGGTTATTTTACTTCACATGGATCAGAGCGTCTTTCTCTCTGTGTTAATACCATGACCTCTGACTCACATCCCCTGTGTTCTGGTAGATGATCTGTCCTGGAGTTCCGGGAGGTCCTGGAGGTCCAGGTGGTCCACCGTCTCGCCCTGGAAGACCCTGCAACACAAACATAAAAAAAACATCCATAAGAAGAAATAAAAACCACAAACACATGGAGAATATTTCATATAAGTCTCTCAAGACAGGAAGAGATTTTCAATACAGCTTCAAAAATGAAAATATATTTGCATATTTATAACCTGTATGTATTGTATATTTTGTATAACTCACCATCTCTCCCTTCTCTCCTCTGTCTCCTTTTTGACCCTTGAAATTGAACATGACAGATTATGAGTGCCATGACAACAAACTATCAAAAAAGTTGAAAATACCTGAATTGTGTATTTCTATAAGAAGCAATTAAGCAACAAATCCCAGTTTATCCATCTACACACCGACTGTCCAGGGAATCCGTCAACGCCTGGGATCCCAGCTGGTCCTCTTGGTCCCTCCGCTCCCTTGTCTCCATGGCTACCTGGCAAACCAGGCTTACCCTGGGAATCATAATTGTGTGATATCACTACAGTCCCGTTCAGATTTTGACAGATAGATTTTCATCCTGGCAGCTTTTTACTTTGTTAAATTGACAAAATGAGACGTCAGACTTGTTTTTTGTGTTTTGTTTGTGCTGAGAAGAGGAGATGATGCCTGTGAGGTAAGGAGGTTTATCTTTTTCCTTTTGGTTTAATACATATATTTAAAATGGAAGTAGGCTTATTTAACTACTGTTATTCAAGTGCCGAACATAAGGAGATGGAGCGACAGTGAGACTAACAACACTAAGCCTTACAGACTCTGTAGTACTTACAGGTAGACCTGCGATACCAGCAGGACCCTGGAAGACACGACACAGGGAAACGTAGGTTAGTACATGTGCTGTGAAGACGAGGACAGGGAGGTCATGTATGGGTGAATGGCTACCTGTGGTCCAGGTGGGCCGCTGACTCCAGGCAAGCCATTGATCGACTCGTATCCATCATGGTCACCCTGTGAGGAGGACAGACATACAAATAGTCCAGGGTTTGTGTATCTTCATATGGTTTTTTTTCAATCAATTTGGTAAATATTTGGTATATTTTAAGGGTCATTTCCTTCCAGCCAAAAGCTACATTTTAAAGAATTTTGTGTCTTTATTTGGTGAAGCCAAAATTAATATTATTTTAACCATAAAATTCACATTACTTGTTTTAGGAAGATTTGTCACACACCTGATGATCCAGATTTTGAAGAAACCTCTACTCACATGTCCAACACGGTAAGGTGGTCCCGGTGGTCCTGGAGGTCCTGGAGGTCCAACTGGTCCCATGGGACCTGGAAGCCCTGCAAGCCCTGTCTGCCCTGGTTGACCCACCTGTCCTGGGTCACCCTGAGAACCCTGAGGTGGGCAGGAAAAGGTGTGGACGTTTTGAGTTAGAGAGAAATACCTGTGAGAATACCTGCAGCAGAAAGATGAAAAGGTGGCATGCGAGAGAGACACATGCAGAGAATACCGGAGGTTCAGCAGAGTTAAGAGATCTGTTCAAATTATTAGATACAGTGAGATGTTATACTTTGAAAAGCAAAAGCAAGCTGCTGGATATTTAATTCAACCATAGAAGAAAGGTCTTTGTCCTGTTAGGAACATGCAGTCTGAAGGATGCAGGTTAAATCAACAGGAACTGGAATCCCTCACAAGTCATTAGGTTGAAATAGAAACTGGTAAAAACTCAGGAAAGGGAAAGGAAACCACCAAAGCAGAGGCCCCCCAGTACCTGCGACCCGTTGGATGGAGTAAAGTAAGAGAACAGGCCGGTGAAAAAGTTGGAGCCTTGTGTGTCTCGCTAGAGGAGAGAGAGAATCTATCTGGATGCACCCGCCACAAATTCATCCTTGATTCATAACGTTCATGATTGTACAGACAAGTTTTAAAATTGAGACTGAACTCACCTTTTCTCCAGCTGCTCCTGGAAGCCCGAGCTCAGCGCAGTCACCCTGGAGCAAAAACAGATTCATACACTTAGTCACACGATATCTCAACAACAAGTAAATGGATTGAAAAGACGTTCATGGTTTCCAGAGGAATAATCCTGGTTAAACTGAAAGTGTAAAGTCAGGTCAACCTAAAGACGGGAAGCTTATACCTGCTCAAAAAAATAACACCACATGTTTTATTTGTAATCTGTGAGAAATATTCAGCAGGTTACATCCTCACCTTCTGTCCTCTGACTCCGGGTTGACCAGGTACACCAGGTGGACCTGGGGGGCCCTGAAACAGCAGACACAAAACGTAAACTCAAGTGTTTTTCACTTTTTCACAATCCTACGAAAATAAATAAGTAATAAGGAATATTTTAAGTCTGTAAGTAATCCACAGTCACACAAAATAAAAATACTCACTGGCAGACCAGGTACTCCATCTTGTCCAGGTGGTCCAGGGGGTCCAAAGGCTATGGGACCATTGGGACCCAGTGCCACTGAATTACCAGGGATCCCAGGAGGGCCCGGAGGACCTGGGACACCGGGAGGACCGCGGGGACCCTGGATAACAAATCAACCCAGTTAAATTTTAATGACATTAAATGTGGTTAAAAAAGCAGATTCAGATGCAGATCCAGATTCAGGATTCTCAGGCAGAAGTATTTATGGTAAACTTTGCACCAAGGAGAAAAAATGAGCAGCACAAAGGCAGCATGTTAATCAGTTCTTAACTAATTAATATTCATGTGTCTGGTGTCTCCCTCTAATTAACTCATCCTTGGCAAGAACTATGTTTGGGCAGTATTATCTAAGTTTATGCCTTTCTCTACATCCTTATCTGTAAGACCTTGGTTACCCCAGCAATGGAGGATAGAGGTGTCATAACAACAACCAAACAGTAACCCATTATCTAACACAGTGAAGGTCTCCACAAGCTGAACTGTGGGAAAGTGAGTGAGGCCTAGAAGAACCAGATGAACATTAAACATACCCGGATTTTGTCCAGGTCTGGGAATCCGGAGCCCTCCATGTCAACAAACGTCTATTGAAACAAACATTGAAGAAAACACAGTGAGAAACATATCTTGAAAACTGAAATAGTGAAAGAAAAGGAAGTGTGGACGTACTGGGCGATCACCAGTGCCAGGTCCGGGAGGTCCCGGTGGACCTGGGGGTCCTCTAGGTCCTGGTTGACCCTCTCCACGGTCGCCCTGCAAAGATCCAGAGGCCACACGTTATCACACTGAATGAAGCCTTGCGATATAATATATTACAATACTCCATCTTCATCCACTCTGTTATACACCTTTTGGCCTTTGGCACCAAGTGTTCCTGGATTTCCTGGGGGACCTTGTGGACCAGCTGGACCCTGAACATGGGAGTACAAGAACAAAATTATGTTTTTCAAATTATTCAGAAAGAAATATTTCACTTATTCAATAAAATACTTACAGCTTTTCCGTCCTCTCCTGGGTCACCCTGAAAGATAGACAGTCAGTGAGAAACATGAATCTAAAACACCATTCAACATGTCTGGAGATCAGGATTTATCTCTCCACTCACAGGCTCTCCATCAGCTCCTGGAGGTCCTTTGGCGCCGTCCAACCCTGGCGATCCTGGAGGTCCGGGGGGTCCAGCCACCTGCTGCACAACAGAGCCATCCCCGAGTCGGACCACCTCAGCTGCAGGGCCGGGAGGACCAGGGGGCCCGGGAGGCCCCTGAGCACCACTTTCTCCTTTATTTCCAGGGTATCCAAAGCCAGAACTTCCCTGGTGAAGACAGAGAAAAATAACTGTAACATTTACCAGCTCTATTGGAAAAGTTGTCTTTGTAGAATTTTTAGTTCGAGTTAAGATCAGGGTTTTAATCATTTTGATACAATGTCTGCTGGTCAGATTAGACACCTCCCCCTGTAACATGAACTACAGGCAAGTGCAGTTATTTCATTATACAATTTACTTATTTTAAAGGAAACAAATTACCCACAAACAGGAATATTATTCATACAACTCATTCACAAGTTCTTAAATTCCTGCACATGTGCTTTAACCAAGCAACCGTGGAAAAATAGGATTAATAAGCATCGTTAATACCTGCAGATCAGGCAGCATTCTCTGCTTTTACACCACAGATGTCTGTTAAAACACTTGGTTCAATTTATATGTTATAAGCATCACTCAGGGAACCCTGGAGGTTATGCAGACCAGATGATTTACCTCAGTCACATGTGGGATGTAGGTCTGGATAAATTGTTATTTGTTAAATTAACATAATGAACAATCATCGTTTAAGGACTGAATTCTTGTTTAATTGATGCAATTAAAAAAAATATACTAGTAACTACACAGCAGTGCAGCTTTATGCTCAGCTCAAGTAAGCTCGTGTTGGAAGTTGTCCCTACTTTTCTAGCCATTATAAAGCCATCAGTCATTAGTTTAGATTACATATGAAAGTCTCAAAATAATGAAACGCTTTTGCATTATATTACTGTATAAAAAGTCCCCTGTATTTTTTTTTATGTACTATTTAACTTATTTCCATTCTACTTTATTTTTTAATTTGCATTGCTCCTATACTAAGATAAGACTATTATTATTAAGACCAATCAAGTTCTAATAAAAACGTTTGAAAAATAATATTAGGATTTGTATTTCATTGAATTTTTAGAACAAACTATTTGCTTTAACTTCTTGTAAACACATGTAGAAAGATCTGAATCAGAGTGACAGTTTTGCTGTTTGTTTATTACGTCATACAGGCGATGAACAACACTGTAGTCCACAGGTTCAGACAGGCACAGTGAACATACCTTTGCACCTTTTTCACCCTGAAAAATACAAAAAGAAAAATTACTGTGTCAATCATACGTCACTCATGTGTGTAGCAGGTGATGTAGCTGAACGTCACAGTCATTTACCTTCTCTCCTCGTCCTCCGCCCTGAGAGGAGACACCAGAGCCAAAGCTGGACCCTGATTCTCCCTTTGGTCCTGCGGGGCCTTCGTCCCCCTTTGACCCTTTGTCTCCTCTGTCACCTTTCTCACCTTTAGCACCATTGGGACCTGAAGGACGTGTCACACGACGTGAGTGAGGAGCAACATCACTGAGCCAAGCTTCAGTTCACCATGCAGAGGTGCCACCACCATCACCATGACACTCAAACTCAAAACTATAAAATATAAAGAAGCACCTCTTCATGAAAGAGAATAAAGGGTCAAACAGCAACGATCACAATTAGACAGTGCAAAAGAAAACAAGTGCAAAAGCAAAACAAACACATCTGTAATGAAACAAACTGAGGAGATGGTGTTTTCTCATCAGACTCAGGTTGTACAGAAGGTTTGTCTTCCACCACCTGGTGGAGCTGATGATGTAGTGTGAAGCAGTGCAGCAGTGACCTCTGTCCAGCAGAGGGCGCTGCAGAATTTATAATTCATAATTCTCCATGTGACTGTGACTGGATCCACTCCATGTGTCCTATAGATGCAACGGAGGTGGACAACAATTCTATATGTATATTTCCATGTTCCTGTCAGTGATTTGTTTTGTTTTGTTTTCATAATTTGAATGTAGGAAGCTCCAAGTTCATAAAAATAAATAGACACTCCTATAAAGTATAACCCCCCTCTGTTTAAGTCTGTCAGTTCTTCTCTCTTCTCTCTAAACCATCACTGACAACTGAGACAACCTATAACATTTAACCCTTTGTGTTTGGTGGAGCCTTGCATTTACATTATATTCCTATGTTTAGTAAAGCCTGAAGAAGAGGAACCGGAGATTGTAGATTCATTAAGGAAAAGTGAGAATGATGAGTTATTTTATTAATTCATTGTTTGTTTGGTGTGAGTGTTCTGATAAGTATGTTGTATATAGTATATATTTACTGTATGTATATAGTGAACGTAGTTTTTCATTTCCAACTCTAGAAGGTAAGAGAACCCATCTTTGCTGTGATAATCTGATTAAACACATTTCATTTAGAAACATGCAACATATTAGCACAAAACTGAAACAATTAAAACTAGGAAACAAGGCAGGACCCACTTCATGGCCATCATCATGTCAGGTTTGTATTAAACAAAACAAATCTGCCATTTATCAAATTACCACAAACCAAATGCCAAAGGGGACAAAAACATACGGAGCAGGTTGCATTGAACTTTCTTGCAGGACAACTCATGTTCAATAGTTTTGATTAACCACAGACAAACCTCCACCAACATGCTCACAGCTCCATCAGCAGTGCTCATCCTACACTGCGATAGGATGGCCACATGTTGATTAATCCTAATCTCAATCTGCATCTCTGACAGCCATGATCAGAATCCTTTTGCCCCCCTGCGACCCACCTCTTGGGCCTGGTGATCCAGGCCGGCCGTAGTCCACCGATGGCTGCTGATACCTGACATCTGAAGTCAACACAAACACAACTTTATCTGCTGCTCAGTGGCTGCATGAGGCCTTCAAGTGTTGGCTCACAGAGCGGGGAATGTAGAGCCTCGTTAATGTCTGTCTGAATGATTTGTTAGAGGTGATGTAGGACTTTCTAATGTCTTAATCTACTCATGGGGGCTCTTTGAAGGAGATTTTTTTTTTAAGCCAAAATCCAGATTTCCTTTCACCTTGTGAGCAACTTCGACCTACTGGTCTACTTCTTTAATTTCCCCACTGGAGGGAGCTAAAGAGTTTCCAGTGGCACTCCTGAAACGCTGCAGCAAAACTCCCCCCACTCTCAGGTCCAGACAAGCACCTTTATGCACATACTTCTGGATAAAAGCAAAGATGTTTCCTTGGCTGCGGCTGCTGTATGATTAAAAACTTCCATTACAGCTTTCCGCACTGTGTTTACTGTGATCAACGTCTTGGCAGGCACACACTCAAGATTTACAGTTACAGGAGGTGATTCTAATGTTGTTAACAAAGACTTATTTTACCTGTTTCCTTCACTCTGGTTCCCTGTGAGGATGTGAGCGGGGGCTCAGGTACTGGACGGGAGGGGGCGGGGGTGGTCTGGAAAGTAGAATAGTAGAACAGCTGAAAACATCTGCAGGCACCGTCTCCTTGACTCATTTAGAAAAATCCAAACAATATTTTTTACACAGAAACTGCTTAATCTGCTTTATCTTTAGCTAATATTTGACATGCAACTAAATTGTATTTAACTGAAATTCATCAAAAAGCTGCATGTGACATTGCTGCAATGCATTGCTGTTTCAATTTTCTGAGCTGAGTGAAATAATAAGTCCTTTAGAGCTGCAGTAAAAAGTTTGTACATGTGCTTCTGATTAAGTTTAAAATGTTTAATGTGACAGTGAAGTTCTAAACCACACTGATTATTTCAAGGTCTAACAGCTGTAAAGGCAGATAATGCAGTTTATCAATTGTACAGTGACAAAAACTACACTGACTGGACAATTAATGAAGAAATAAAACATACAAATCCATTTTAATTCCACTTTTTGTGACAGGTTTTATATGAAACCCAGTCAAACTGTGATTAAAAATGTTTAACGTGATCCACACAAATACTACACAACATTATATCTGTGACTAAAGACCCTAGTATGGATCAAACTCCTAAAATCCTACAATTCCCAAAATGAAAATTCACCCATACCTCCTCCTAAATGCCACATCTGTCACACCCTAGCACCAGTTTTGGAGAGCTCCCTCCAGAGCCACAGAAGACATCATGTAACTGCAGCATTCCTCATGATGAGTAAACTGAGCTTCATGTGTGAAATCAGTGGAGTAACTCCGGTGAATCACCAACTCCAGTGAATCACCACAACAATTTTTTTTTTTCCAGTCACACTGCCCTTGGATTTCACTCCTGCACCATCATATCAAATGTTTGCAGGGGTCATGTGGAGGAGGTTTTAAATGTGAATGAAGTGAAGACAAACTGACCCTCACAGTGTGTCCCGTCTCTCTCCTCTCGCCGTCACCGCTACCAAAGTCTCCAGAGGCCTGAGAGACATGGAGAAAAAGGATGTTACACAAAAGTACTGCACACTTTGACAAAAATACTCAAACACTAACACTCACAGCGTCGGAGTCGTCTTCGTCATCACACAGGCGCTCAGCTGCCTGAGGGTCTCCCACCACTTTCAGCTCTGCCATCTCCCCCTAAAAAAACACACACACACACACACACACACACGCACGCACACACGCACGCACACACACACACACACACACACACACACGCACACGAAATGAATGCATTTTATTTCACTGTGATGACAATCAGTCATGAATTCAACTTCCTCTCAAACCTCCAAGGAGCTGGAAAATATGAGAGAAGTGACTCATGCAGAGGAGAGTATTGTCAGCTGCCTCTGCCACTCTGTCTTGAGATGAGCCTGGATTCTGGCTCTTAAACCTGATACAGGCAGTTTTGAGTCCAGGTGGACTTTATGAGGCTTGACAAGTGAATAGCTGATAACAGAGACCAGTTTGTGCCGATGGAAAACTTTTCTTTGGATGAATTAGTCAGAAAAAGTCAAAAGGATGCAGCTAAAAATGGGGCAGTTTAAACTTTGACATGAATTCAATCAATTTCTTGTCACATGTGGTCACCGAATGGGTGAAAGCTGAAGGTCAGAGGTCAAAGGTGAGAGAAGTCAAGTGATACATTTACAAGGAAGAGGAGGGTTAGGTCTGCCCTTCCTGCCGCCAGTGACCCAAAGACAAACCTGCCGTGAGATGCCACAGGGAGATATTAGAGAGAGATCCGATCACACCGAGAGGTCACGCTTCCATATAGAAGCACACACACACACGCACGCACACACGTACGCACGCACGCAACCACGCACGTATGCACGCACGCATGCACGCACGCTTGCACACAGACACACAGACACACCTGCTCTTTTAGCACACAGTGTATTATCCTGACATTTCCAGGTCCCGTGGGTGACATTCGGGGGAGGATTCATTGCTGTTTTTCATTCATTTCTGTCAGAAATGTGATGAACAAACATCTCTTCAGCACTTGAGCATTTCCTCTGCTGGTACCCTGGAGTTTATGGTCAGAAAATAAATTAACTTCTCTCCCAAAGTGCAGTGTCTAAAAACAAAGTACTGCAGTGTAAAAGTGATCGGTCATATTTAATGTAAGATCAGTGCAGTCTATCAGTTTGTATCAGACATGTTTCATTTAAAGTTTGACAGGTCTTGTTCCATTTCAAAGTATGTAGTTTAACTGGTGATCCATCACCAATATAAAACTAGACCAGAGGTTTTTAAAGTCTGACTGCGAGTTTTGCCCTGTTCTTACAGCTTACAGTTGTTTACATTTTGGCATTAAAAGTGTGGAGAATTATCTATTAGCAGTTCCTGTTTGCAGTGTTAATGTGGCTGTATGATCAGTTGTCACTGACTTATTTTATCAGTGAATTATTTTAATACTGAAGAAAACTTCAAAACCTGAAGATTCTCAAGCAAGTTCTGCAGTTGTAAAGACCATCTTTCTTTTTTTCTATGATTTCTAAGTAGGTTTACTTGCTGCTGTTGTAGTACAGGTATAAGTTTGAAAAATGTATTATCATCAAGGTAAAAACAACCCGTTGATATTTTTCAGGTGAATGTAAATCCACTTGTTTAGATTCAACACTTTATTTGTATATTTATCTTTAATTTCGACATTACCTGGAACTTGTCAGCATCGGCTCCTCCTGCCTGACCCACAAAGATCCCCGCCCCCGTGTCAAACTCCATGGGGTCCGGGGAGCGCTCAAACCGCACCACACGAGGCTCAGAGTCGCAGCCGAGGTAGAAGGTAACCTGCTCCTCAAACACAGACAGCGAGAACCGACTCCAGGTGTCCACCATGCTTGGCACGTCAAAGCTGACCGCCTCGTACGAAGCCTCAGAGTCGGGTTCGGTGTAGAAGAACTGCACCCTCTGACGGCCGGACTGCACCTCACTGAGCTTGACACCGATGTACATGAGCCTCTGCGGCCCGTCAGTGATGGAGAAGAGGACGGAGGCGGCGGGAGTGGAGGGCTTGATGTGAAAGAGGAGAGAGAAGTGGCGGTAGAAAGGGTTGGGGACGTGGACCAGAGCTGGCTGGCCCGACACCGCCGCAGGTGTGAAGACATAGGCGGTCTCCCCCCTCGGCCCGTAGGCCCTGGTGATGTCAGCTGGTGGAGGGTCTCCGATCAGCTGGAGCAAGGTGATGCCACTTTCCTCTGCAAGAGGAGACAGACAGGAAGTTAAGACTTAGAGTCTGAAGTGCAGATGTAAAAAAAAAAAAAAAAAAATATGGCAAATCCGACTAGGAAAGTCACTTTTTTCTAGATTTTGATTTTTTTTTTTTAGAATTTGATTTGTCACCAAAGCACAAAGAAGCAAAATCATTTTGATGTCTGTGTAAAAAAGGTTGTAGGAGCTGATGAGGAGCACTTGAAGGCAGCACAAGGTCCAAAGAGAGAGTCAGTCTGAAGCACAGAAATGATCAGCAAATCACAAGTTCTTTTGGTGTTACAGAGCACAACATCTGGATGGCCAGTCTATAGTAACACCCTGTACATCCCAGGAGGTACCGTATGTCTTTAATTGTGGTTAAATTAAGTTGTTTCTTTTGACTGAAGGACTGAAGCTTGAAGACAAAATACTGGTTAGGATTTGTTAATATTTAGTTAAAATGCAAATGTTTTGCAGATTGCTGCAGTTTGGGAATCTGCTTTAAATGAGTCATTGACTCAAACAGCTGAACCACGAGAAGTGGCTCTGGGACGACAACCAAACCACACTGATGATCCAGGCCAAATAGCAAACCACAGATTCAGTCAGTGACCGCTGCGTACGCTTACACTCTAACAGAAGTACTCGGTGCATTGTTGGAACCCCCTCCCTCCACACCTCTCAGTATTATACATGAAACTGTGTCAATTTCTGCATGTTTCTGAAGCAGAACATTCGACAGTGATGCCGCTTCATGCAGAGACCGGCCTGGTGTGAGAAAGGAAGCAGAGTTTCAACTTTTGTCTCTCGTTCTGTTTTTCATTCAACACCTTTTGTCACACTCCTCCTCAAACAGGAGCGGCATGGATGCCTTTGAGAGGAAAGAGTGCACTGTTACTGTTGTGTATTTGTGCATTTAGATGTGGTTGGAAACCACGTACAAACTGCATTTCTTCACTTTCCCTCAAATGACAAAAGAAAAAGAAAGTGCTCCACTGGAACAACTTCAACAGCATTCATGTTGTTTTATTTATGAAAATGACTTTTTAAATGCTGAAAGCACGAAAAAAATTCATCCAAACCCCATGCAAACATCCAATACCAGTGGTTTTCCAATTCTTGCTGTCCGCAGCATCTGTGCATAACTACAGTATAGTTAAGGTTAGGGAAAGATCGTGGTTATGGCAAATGAACTGTGATAAGAGGGGGTTGGAGTCAGACAACTTAAACATTTAGTCAATAATCAGGAAAGACTGTGGCTGTAGTTTAAAAGAAAAAGTCAGCAAATTCCTGCATGCATCCAATTACTGCACGTCGCTACATAAGGGGCACCCGGTAAATAGCAAGGTGCAGAATCATCCAATATGAACCTTAATTCCCATGATACTCTGGAGATATCTCAAAAGTATCTCGACAAGTAAAACCAAAACAACCTGCATGAATCAATGCCACTAGAGTTATGTAAGATCCGTTTTTGTTTGGTTGTGGGTGAACTGAGTCTTTAAATCAAACAACTGACTGATTGACTGGGTGGTTTAACTAATGCTGGACTCCAGTTATATAATGTTTCTACATTTATGCTACAGTGTGTGTGAAACTTGAGGATTCCGTCAAATTATTTCAGTTCCCATAGACTAAAATAACCCAGAGGGAAAAGGAGCAGCCGCCTCGAGACCCACGGTGATGTTCTCATAAATCGCCATCACAAGGGGGGGGGGGGGGGGGGGGAGTTTTGGCCTGGCGGACACTTCTGCACAGCGATCTCCTGAGGGCGGCCTGTCAACGCAGATTCATGAGAGGAGCTGACCACAACGCACAATCAGTGCATTAAAGGGTCACAGAGGTCCGTGGTCGCGGGGGTTTCCCCGAGTTTCTGAATGATGTGAAAGCATCAAACGCAGCTTGTTAAGTGTTCAGTCAAAGAGGGTAAAGGAAGGGGTAACTCAGAGAAAGCCAGCTTCACCGCAAGATAAAAAACTCATGACGGTGGCTTCATTATTGCCAAGTATCAAACAGCAAATAATTAGCTGCTAAACTCAATCTCATCTCTGGGTTAACACATTTTCCAGATTGAAACAAACACACTATGATATTAATAATATTTCCCAACCTTATACATGTTTTGTCTTTGGAGTGTGTTGTTCACCTTCTAGGAAAGTCACATTGTGTTGAGCAACACTCTGCCATGGAAAGTTATTTATGGGACAACCAGTTCATAACCAAGTGCACATCTGCGATCACCAGATCAACACTGGCAGGGAGTAATCCCCACACATGTTCTTACACACAAACACACAATCACACACACACACACACAGTCGCTGCTGCATGAATGGTGTGTGTTGTGTTGCCTCGACCTGCACGGCCACAGCTAAGCCTGGATCCTGAGGGATTTCGTCCAATTGGTGCTGGACCTGGGCGCGCCGGGTGGTCAACTTCCCACTGACAGCACCTGCTATTGGTTAATCTCACACTGACACAGCTGCTGCAGCTGTTGTACAGAATGGGTCAGATTATGTATGTGGAATTTATTTTTTTGATAATGATAAATGTTTCTAACTTTTATTCAAGGACGGCTTCTTGAACATTATTTTCTCAAGCCAAGTTCTGCTTTAATTTGACCCACATCTGGACGCCGTCCAGTCCGACCACTGGTCTCCCATTAAACAGCCATTCCGGCAGCAACAGTTGAGGCTCCCATGAACATGAGCAACGTCTGCCAACTATTCTTTCAGTCCAGTAACAGTGCGGTTACATTACAACCACACACACTTTTCTAATTTCTGTATCAGAGCTGCAATCTCTGTCTCAAAATTTAATCATGGTTTTCCTGTAAAACTAATTGCAAAGTAAAGCATGTACCAGAGGTTCCCAACCTGGGCGCTGCACACGGGGGGTCATAATACTAAACTTAGTGAGACCATTTATTTATTTTTAAGCTGTCCCGTAATCTTCATCATTTTATAACAAATCACTTGAACTCTTCAAATAAAATAAATAAACAGGTCACTTTTTGGCAAGTCGACGTGTCTCGGTTTTAAGAGTACTCCAACGATTCGACATGTTACTTCTATAGCATTATTGGACTCTCGATGAAATCGATGCAGCAGAACCAGAGATATCATCTCTCACTTCTGTCCAACTCAACACCCCCAGATTTCTTTTTATCACACAACTTATTTCACATGTGCAGCAGGACGGCAACACCTGTAAACAGACTTTGATGTGTAAAGTTTTATGGGGTCACAAGCTGAACAGGTTGGGGACCACTGCTGCTCTCAAAGAAAATCATGGTCTTCTAACTGTTATTATCTTTAGTTTATCATGTCATTTTCATCATCATTTTCTTTCCTTCCAAAAAAAGCAATATAATCACCACCTGCCGCCACTACAACATTAAAATGCTGCTTTGACATGAACGCCTCAGCAGTAATACGACTACATGGTTCGGGCTCCTTATTATACTTATACAGAATTGTGCATGAACGTGTTAAAAGAGTGTGATCATCATGTTTTTGGTGAACGCTGAACTGAATGTATCGGTGTGAGCGCGAAGAAGCAGCCAAGAAACATCAGAAGAAGAAGAACTGTGAGTTTAGGGCACCTAAAGTTTACATTGCATCTACAGTATCAGTTCCTTTACTGCACCTCTTCTCTTTCACTCATTGTAACAATACATGTATATAGAGCTGGATTCCATTTGTAATTCCTGCTTTATGACACACAGTTTAAGTGGTTTTTCTTGGCTTTAAAAGAAAATGTCTGTTATTCTATAGTAGTTTACAGTAATGATGGAGGTTAGGGATGGATGGATAGGAGGAGGAGGAACTTCTACTCGTTTTAAACGTCTGTATACCTTTGGTCACATTGTGCAATCTTACACTGACCATTAGAAGCTGCCTTCAAGTGCGTAATCAGCTGTTTCTTTAACTCCTGAGGACAAATGGAAGCTGGCACGATAGCCCAACATTGGAAACCATCATCATGTTCACCCAGATGTCTGCTGATGGCTTCCTGCCCTGCTTCTGTCTCCTCTCTGACTCCCTCTCTCCATTCTAACAGCAGCCATTGTATGGAGGAACAACATACAGCAATGTTTCACAGCCTTGACGACATGGGCAAGTAAAAATATGACCTCATGTATTCTGTTACAGAGGATTACTGCAGTGCCATGTCTGTATTTTCCAGCCCTGGAGAAGAAAAGATACTGCCAGTGAAGAGAGGCACAGACGGACAGATGGATGGACAGAGGCAGGGAGGAAGTGCGTGTCAGATGTCCATGGGAAAGTGGACCATGAGGGACTCTAGTAGGATGAAGGAAGACAGAGATTCAGTCCCAAAAGCCTGCACGGACTCAACATGCCAGTTAAAACAGGCTGAAATGTCATTGTGGAACTAATGGACTCCTACAGAGGTTTAGGGGGGTGAAGCGTCTCCCCTGGGGTAAGAGAAGCTGTTTCGCTGGAGGCTAAGCTAAACATTAAGACAAGAGGCCTAAAAAAAATGACAATTTCTTTTAAAATCTGCACTAGGGCAGATTTTATTTCAACAAGTACAAACACAACCATCTTATCGAGTTAAATCTGAACCCTTTAAGACCATGAGCACTGGCCCAAATCAAACTCTGAAAAAACATGGAAAATGCCTTTTTAATTTACCACAGCCCAAGGAAAGGTCTTGTTTTATTCAAGCTCAAAGATATTAAGAAGACTATCAGACACTATATGATGAATAAAAACAGCAAAATCTCACTGAGTTTGTTATAGTTCTACGTTTTCTACATGATTTTTAGGAGGAATATCAGTCTGACAGGAGATACATAACTCAATACAATAGATATAATACTAATACTAATAACACAATCTAAGTACTTGTATTTACAGTAAATTTATATCATATGTACAGTCTTCTTTAAGGATTTATTCATAACCTATTAAAACCCTGCTACTGACTGAGCAGTAAACGCTTTATTTCCTTGGTGTGGGAGCTTGAGCTTTTATTTAGA